CACCCCCAAGAACTTTGGTAATTACTTAAATAATTAGGTATGTATAATATAAATTTAAATAAAGTAATAATGTAATTAAGTAATAAAGATATCGAACAAAAGCCGCGAGTTGACGTCACACTATACGCCATAGAGCTCATATGTTGGGACTGATGCTGTCACATCAGGAGGATGCCTGCCATTATGCCTTGCACTACACTATTATTGCATTATACTAAACCCTCTAATTTGATATTAATTTTGCCTCCATTATTTTCATTATCTCCGCTGACATAACATTAAGAATAACTTACATGTTTTACAATGTCACCATATATGACCAAGGAAAATTATAGGTGCCGTGTTAACAGTGTGCCGTAACTAAGTGGGTACATCTATGCTATTTCTCTGAAAATAATTTCCGTATGGGCATTGTTAACAGATGACAATCAAATTGTTATCGTCACATTCCAGCTCGATTCTGTTTTTAAAGCTTGTTCCCTTTGTTTAATAATATAGAGTTTCTCCCAATAAACGCTAACATAGTCCGACTTTTTTTATGTAAACCAATTCATATCATAAACCACGCTCAAACTTACGCGATTAGTCTATATAGTTGAATTATGTATACTAATAATATTATTATATGTTATATATTATTGGGAACACAACAAAAATGGCGCTTAAGTCTTTAAAAACGTACGCGTTTTTTAAACTTGATGCTCCAACTAGAAGTAGATAATTATAATTTTAAATCCCATATAAACTCTTTATTTAATAATCTTACTATTTTTACATATATCTTACATTAATCGTATTTAAAAATGTATGTTATGGTAACAATATACGCGATATACCCATAATAAGTGACACACATTATTGCAGAAGTAATACGGCGTTCCCGACACTCAGGTTTCCAGGACAAAAGCCTAGAAACTCGAATCATGGTTATGACACCGGACCTTAATTGCCACTTCTATTTGCGTATACAATTAAGATATGGACGAACGTTGGACTATTGTAGCAATGTTTGTAAATCATTAAAGTCAATAACTTAACAATATGGACATTATTGATAATTTTATATCTTGGAATTACCACAATACAAGATAGGATGTTAGAAATTAAACATCCAATAACAACAAAACTCAACGTCAATTAGGATAGTGTCTATAGACACTATTGCAGTGATTATTATCTTGATTATAATTATTTAGTTGATACCTAATCCACAACTGTCATGGCTAACATCGAAAGTTTTTTGTGTAGATTGCTTTCTTTGAACAGAAATCTCCATTCATTTCTTTTACTTGATAAATATGAATAAAAGATCTCCGGCGGTATTCCAGATTAAATACGATTTGGGGACTTTCAAGAAAAAATGAATTCTTACTCATGAAATGAATATTATAAATGTGAAAGTGAGTTTATGTGTTACCTTTTTATGGTTTAATAATAATAATATATAATCATTATGAAATTTGATACACACGTACTTTGTGAGAATGAGAAGGATATAGGCTACTTTTTCAATAAATATACCCCAGTCATGCGGACAAACTCGCGGAGAATAGCTAGTAATAGGTAAATAAATAATATTTTTTTAAAAGGCTGCTAACGCACAGACAATTTCTCTATTGTTGTTACTTTGCTATTAGTAACTTACATGTTCATTTGTCATCCTTTAATATAAAAAATTATACACGGCAAAATTTGTTTAGATAAACTAAGCCAATTTTGTTTTTTTATTTTCATGATATTTATATATATTAATATAAATATAAATAAATATAAATATAAATATAAATATATATATTTATATATATTTATTTATATTAATTAACTTTGTGATAATTTTTTTTTTCCAGCGAAATTTCAAATTGTACACCACTATAAATATGAATAATGCTGCTAGCAAGAAAAATAAAAAAAAAAAAAAACAAACATAGAGTTGTTGATTGACCTTTTTGAAGCTATCTAGAAAGGTTAATTTTAAAAATTGTCGACTAGGAGATAACAATTTGTAAAATTAATCTTTTTAGCGACATTCAGTGTTATATGAGAGAGATATTAAACTCTTAAATATAAAACCACTGAAACTTTGTAACGACTAAAGGTATCCAGAACAGAATATAATTTTGGAGGTTTTTGGTTATTGGAAAGTTAAATTTTTCAATGGAAGTAACGCCTTTGGATTTGGCATTTCTTTTTGAAACGATATAATTTACTCTTATATATCCAATATTAGTTTTGTCATAATTGAAGCTTTTCTTTGCGAAACAAAATCTTTCTCGTTGTAAAGCAAAAACTATCAATAATTAAACAGTTTCGTGTTCTATTAAAATATTTTAAATCTTAGTTAATTTTAAACTTTCGCGTACAAAATTTAATGCGATAAAAAACTTTTGCGGGTAAATAGTACCTAGACGTGACTTGCACCACATCGTGATCACGACAGAATTTTTCATCGCATCAAGTCCCGACAGTGTATTTAAAATATTTTACATGTTGTCTATGAAACATCGCGTTATATATCGGTGCGATTTTGATTATAATGCCTTTATGTACATTTTATGCTCAACGGCCTCTTTTGCATGTGTTTAACTCTTGCATTCTAACCAATTTTTGAGTATAGTTTATGTAGTTTGGCTACTATGTACATAAAAGTAAGTACGCTAAGTAAAGTCAATATTAATTTTTTCATGCAATCGTGTAATTATACTGACTAGTAAATAAAAATTTGTGTCGGCTATTTTCCCAGGGAATAATGTCTATACAAATTTTATCACTGCATTTGGATAGATCAAGTATCAAAATTCGTCCAAAAAGTAGATGCAACGACTGTATAAATACAAAACACAAAATAATTTATCGTGTTTTTTATATGATAAGTACCTATAATTGATATTGACATTCGATATTGGTGTTATTCAGAGTAGATATCTTGATATCTAACTTTTGAAGTTACCTTGAGTGTGTTATCTTGTTAAGTCATTGTCTTTGGTGACTTGATGTCCCGCAGTTATATTATCGGTAATTGAATAAATCTCTTAAACAAACAAGATTGAAAAAAAGATATTTGATTTGTGGTTCTGAACTTTGCTGGCTGATTTGCACTGATTTATTGTATTCATCGCCTCTTACAATATTATGTAAATGAAAAAAAGGCCCTAAATTTGAAAAATATTTAAGAAAAAAATATTTGAAACGTCTTTATAAGGGCAATAGCTACCAAAACAATAATTTTTAAAATGTCCTATCTGTATTATCTATCTGTCTGTATATTTGTTCGGGAATCACACAAAAACTATTAGGTACGCCAAATTAAATGTAATTTTTACAGTTGTGTTTCTAAAGATGTTACCTACTGTATGTTTTACGGGTATCTTGACACACTACCTAGAAGTGGTATATTTCATTGATTTTCCTACTTCTGAAATTTACGCGTACGAAATAGTAATGGGAAAAAGTTAGTAAAATATATTCTTAATCCTACATCGCTGAAAATCGCTAATAGGTTTTGAACTATCAAATTATCTGTCAGTGTCTTCCCTTACCATGCTTAAATTTCTCTTCACGAGATATTTATTTATTCATTCATCAATATTTGCATATTTTAGTAAATTTATTTTAGTAATCAGACTATATATTGCTAAATTTTCTTATCACACACTCACCACTGTAGAGATGACACGTGCTATATGGCCCATACAGTGTTTACGTACACTTTTGTATGACTAAAAAATATTTTTAAAAATATATCAAGGTAACCTATAGATAAATAGCATTGATGATTAATTCCTATTATAGATTAAATTTTTAATCACAAGGCCTTCTATTTTGTATGTATATAAAATTTAGATATTTTTTTGGAATATGAATTTTAAACACAAGCAGATATCCTACGAAGACATTCCATTTCTAACCGGGATCAAGTATAATTATTCAAAATTTCATGATGGTTGATTCAGCCGTTAAAACACCAAGAGATAACAAACAAACAATCTCACTTTCAAATTTATAATATCAGTAAGTACTAGCTTTAACCCGCAACTTCATTCGCATGACTTGAATATATTAATTGACCAGGATAAATAATAACTCTGTCCTTCTCTATCCCATATAAGTCGTACATAAATACAAAACTAGTAAGAATTAGTAAGGATTATGAACTTTACTTAATTCAACACTTACTTCATATAGTTAACCATATCAATTGCTTCATTGTAAAGTCGATGAAGAAATTCTAGTCATTATAATGATAAAAGCGTTCGAGGTTAGAACGCGGAGAACAAGCATTTATCAAATGGGTGTTACTTATCTCAGACATACATAACTCATGATTACAATATGACATCAAAGTATAAAATAAATAAAAACAGTAAGCGATATCAACGACTGCATATCAACGGAGACACGACGACATCTAATTTATTAGTAAGAAAATATGCTTTGACTCTTTTCGTTGGTAAATTTGTAGAATATTTGAGTTATTTTGCATAAATATCTTTATTATTATTACTATATTAATGTATTTAACATTTGAATGATCTTTGAGTAAACTTACGTACTGAGTGCACAAGTATAATACTTTTTATAATCTTTTTAATGAAACCAATATTTTTTGTTACGATAACAGCTGTAACGATAACTGTATGGGTCCTGTCAACGCTCACATCCTCAAAGTATTTTGAAGACTTTTACTTAATACAATAAAAGTATATATCTAATATATATTGTAAATGAATAAATATACAGAGTAATCTATACCCACTGATTTACTGTAATATATTTTCCCTCTACCTAGTAAGTAATTTCATTCTATATTGCATTGTTTGCCTACAAGATTGCCACGCGAAAACCTTTGTTTCGTGTCATAACAATAATACAGCAACGTATTATAAAAAAAAAATAGAGTAATACGAATATTACACTTGTGTATTGCAGGCGCCTTATACTACGATAACCCTTTACTGACCACACACGAAACAAATTTTAAAATGAATTAATTTTGGTTTCAGAGTGAAAGTCGATTCGTTGATGCTATTGCTGTGGGCTTCTTGTACTGTAACTCGGGGTATCAGCGACGTGGAAGTACTGACACCAAAACTGACACGCTGTAGCCATGAACGCGCCTACGACATGTACGGCGCTTATTGTGGTGGTCTCCGTCTCGACAAGATACCTAATCTAAAGAGCAGCATCGAGGTATGTAAACCTATTATTACGAAAACCTCTTTAATACAGTCAACATCATCACCATCATAGCAGCCGTTAACTCTCCACTGCTGAACATAAGCCTCCTCTTATAAGGAAATCTTGCCAGTAGTTGTTACGCTTTCCAGGTAAGGGTAAGTTGTTAACCGCAGTTAGGCTTTGGTGATGTTTTAAGAGGGGCACTACTGCCCATCCCTCAACCATTAAGTTTTCTTAGTCTCTTCTTACGACACCCACGGGTATGGAAGTGACGACATGACATTTTAATACAGTGTTCAAATAGAAACTTAATATTCTCATAAACGGTACTTTTAATGAAAGATAATAGAATGGCAATCCCGCCTGCGCAATCAGTTTACACTACTGTGAGACACCATTAAGGGATAATAGATAAGGATGAAAGCAAGTCAATTGCCCCATCGTAACGAATTCACCAGGAAGTAACCACATTTATTTTCCAAAAAGGACCACGTGGAGGTCAACTTGATAGAATGTATTGTTAGCAATGAGACTGTTGGGCCCAATTACCAACAATCCCTTCCCCCGCCCCCCTCATAAACAGGATGTAAAGGTTGCGTAGTTCCAGGAATCCTATGAGTACAAACCGGTTATATTCTCAAATTTTGGACAAACAAATAAATTCTAGAAAAATGGGTGCGCTTCTTTCAATTCATCTCTTCATCTCAAGCTTCAGAGCTGATTTTTTAACTTTCTTTGAGTAATTGGGGATACAATAATAATAACACAGTTGATGGAAATTGAAAAATAAATAAAAATGCTTACGACTATAATCCCTAGCAGAGCCATTTGTCGCATTATTGCCGTTGCGATGAACATAATATTCTACATGTCTACATTTCGCCAAGCATACGTATTAGTATCCAAAATGGCAGGAGGTGGGTCTACCATCATGAATTTGATTTGTATACGGTGCTTTCCATTACTGAAGGAAAATTGAATTGCACTAGACCTATCGCAACCAGAATTGTGTAACAACAATGTATCGAACCTGACTCGATTTAAAAACGTTCATCCTTAATTAAGATAACAAATAATTGAATTAAGTATAGGCGATAATCGAACAGAGAGCCCATTAAAGCTAATCAATGTGTCTGTCGCCGCAAGCGACATGTTATGTTTCTGAAGTGTAGGCAAGTGGCAAACTAATACATTGATAGATTAGTTTTTGCTACTACATATATAAGACAGATTGACCTCTAGTTCCGGCATAGAATACGCCAACCCTTTCTTTCCCATGGATAATGTAAGAGATGACTAATGATGATGATGAGATGATGAACATAACAAGCGACCCATTTAAAACATCACTAAAGCCTAACTGTGGTTGCCAGGGGGGAAAGGGATTGTTAGTAATGGAGACCGAGAATCCCATTGCTAGCAATATACCCAACCGGGTCGACCTCCTCGCGGTTCTCCCTGGAAACTATCATGGTTAATTGCTGATGAATTAATCTAGATGGGCTAACTGGCCTGTTTTAATTCTCATCTATCACCTTCACTGGTGCTCCGCCAGTGTATCCCGTTAGCGCAAGCGAGGTTACATAACATTTTCATCTATCAAAAAAAAAATCCGCTAGCCAAGCGTGGCAACTACAGGCAAAAACCACCTTTTAAGGGCGGTCTATGTTCAGCAGCGAACAGTAGACGGCTGATAAGATAGAACGAGGTAGTAACTTTCGTTTTGTTCTTTCTCGAGTGAGCGTTTTTTATTGTAATTAAAATAAATATATTTTCTTTTATTACTGCTATAATAAATACCTAACTGTAATTCCGAGAATACGAAACAAGTACAATACTTATATCTTGAACATGTTCTAGAATACGTTATCGCTGTCGTGTTATTATTATATTTTAAGTATATATTTTAAATTGATAGTTATTTAATAAGTTTAAGATAACTGTTATTAGATTGATTCGAAAATATAGATACGACACGTTTAGAACAAAGAAGCTACCTAACTGCTTTGTTCTAAACGTGTTGTATCTATATTCATATTATATGCATGTCATATCATAAATAAACTTAGGTACCTAGAATCTTGATAACGCAGTGTCTTATTCTTTAAAAGTAACAAAAATAAAAACTGTATGAGCACCATCAGGGCCGTCAATAGTAATTCCTATACTTAGAAATAGAGCTAAAACATTAAATAAATATCAAAGACTAAACTAACAATTATATTCTTTTTCAAATTCCAGATCCTTGACTTCAGCGAAAATAGGTTAAACGAGTTGCAAGCTGACACCTTCACAAATTATCCAAACATAAAGTTTCTATATTTAACTGAAAACCAATTGTATCGTATTGATAAAGATGCATTCGCGCCGCTCGTCTACCTACAGACTCTAGATCTTTCGAATAATGTCATATTAGAATTACCAGAGACCGTCTTTCAACTGCCGTCTTTACGAAATTTGTATTTAAAAAATAATCCTTTACTCCATCTAAGTATAAGCAATTTGGAAATAAGAAAACCAATAAAAGCACCTTTGGAGTTATTAGACATATCTAATTGCAAGTTAGAAAGGTTACCAAACTGGGGAACTATACCAAATTTGGTAAAATATAATATCTCACACAATCAACTAAAAACTATTGAAGCTCAACATTTCGCCTCGATGTGTGCCTTGAAAAAGGTTGATATTTCAAAATCAATAGAAGAAATAAAGACATGTGACTTAAAACCTACGATTAGTTGGTTTCAAATAAAAGCAATTTCATTCGAACTGGATGATTATAGCAAGTTGAACACCGAAGGTTGGTACAAGTATTAATACTAATATAATAAAATTGTAAGTGCAAAATTATCCAAATATTTCAGCTTATTTAAAAAAAGAATTTGATTAAAAAGTACATCTGAACGATTATTTCCAGTATATGCAATGATTACGGCGGCAAACAAACTGACACCCTACTCATACTTGTTGGTTACCGTCACCCTGCGAATAATAGTGTCAACTAAATCTATAGTTGTGACCATGATTGTCTGTCTAATCATGATTCTCACTGGCTACATTGTGATGCCTCATGGGTTGCCATTCTAGATCACATCGTAAAATTCACATTAAATTTGCTGTATCCTGTATATAACTTTGTCTACGTAAATTGGGATAAAAGTATCCTTTCTACTAATATATATTATGACCTCTCAGTTTACTAAATTTCATTCGAATCTGTTTAGCCAACAAACAAACATTTAAATAAACAAACGTCATTATACAAACTTACAATTACAGTAAATAGCATCAGTTGTAAGATAGGGTTCGTTTGTGTCTACGGTTTGTTATCAGAATTTTAGGTTATCCGAGGTTGTGTGAATTTCAAAAGTAGGAAAACCAATATAATAAATCACTTTTAAATGGTGTTTCAGGATAAAAAATACACTAGATTTTAAGTTAAACCTTCAAAAACATACATAATGTACTGCAAATACTGTTACACAGTATCTAATTTTGTACAGTACTTTTTGCATGATGCCGGAACAAACAATTACAAACAGACAAACAAAATTTCTAAAAATTATTGTTTTAACATCTATTATGAAGACATCTTATATTAATTTCTCTTAAATATCAATAGTTACAATTTTATTATAAATATTATGTCATTTTATGGTTTTAGAATTTAACGATTGCCCGAGTATGACAGGAAATGATTTAGAAATCCTCAACACTACGCACCACATATGTAGAAGCATGTACTTGAAGGTATGTTCATTATTTATTGAAGTATTTTAAATTAAAAGATCTCTAAGCAGAATTATCCGTCTCAAAATGGACACCGTACGCAAACAGGGAGATTAAAAATTTTATTACTTTTCTCTCTTTAAAACCTAAAGTCATTCTACCAACTTCAAAAAAGACGTACGTATCAATTCAACTATTTTTTCTTGTACCTATGTTGTACGATATCTCGCTATTTTGATCCGATTTTACGATACTTTTTTTTTTAATACTCTCCTTTTACAAAATATTAATGCTGACAATAAAGTGGTACTCGTTTTCGTAAAGAACCTTTCATTAATGTAAATGTATAATAAATATGTACGTAAATACGAGCAATGTACATACGAAACGAATTGTTTCAGCTTCTGCTTGACACATAACAATATTAATGAAATTTAGAAAATCTTTTTAAAAACCTTTATAATATTAAATGCAAAGTACGCTATCAATCTAAGCCGTAGGTCCCAATATAGAATTAGCCACCCCTTCCTTTCCCGTGGGTATTTTTTTTTGATGGGCGAAAATGGTATGGTAACCCCGCCTGCACTAACGGGATACGCTGGCGGAGCACCAGTGAAGAGTGATAGATGAGAATGAAAACAGGCCAGTTAGCCCATCATGATGAATTCACTAGGAATTAACCATGATAGTTTCCAGGGAGAACCGCGAGGAGGTCGACCGACCTTTCCCCCCTCCCGTGGGTATTATAGGAGGCGACTAAGGGAACTTATGGTGAAGGGATGAGCAGCAGCGTCCCTCTTAAAACATCAAAATCCAAACTACGGCTGCTAAACTGGCTGCTAAGCGTGGCAACTATTAGCATTCCTCTCTTATGGGGGAGGCTATGTCCAGTTAACGGCTGATATAATACAATATAATACGCTAATAATAAAAAACAATTTACAACCGATTTAAAAAATTTGTTCTCAATTCGGTTGTATTTGTTTTTGTATGTTTGTTATGTCTGTTACTCAGTAGTTTCATTTTTAGATCAAAATAACCAGTTTTGTCACAATTGAAGTAATTTTTGTTTCTGTGGGACACATTATTTATTTTATTGCAGTTTCATAATTCAATTACATCTCGACGCACGTGGTTGACGGTGATCGGTGGATTGGCAGGCTTTTTAGTCTGCTTCATGTTGCTGCTATATCTAATGCATCGACATAACGTTGCACAAACCAAAGAACCGTCGGAGAAAATCAAGAAGGTCACACCAAAGAACGAGAGCGATAAACACGCATCGATACCGATTCTGAACGAAACGAGTGATGTCTCACGGCTTTAGTACCTAGTTTTAAGAAGAGATATAAGTCAAGTCTTGCCCTTTTAGATTTAGACAAGAAGCAAAAGAATCTATCGATAGATATATAGAATAGAATAGAATAGAAAATATTTATGAATAATGTTTTGTGGAAAAGCATATCACAAGAAGATATAAGTGTGCCATCTTAAAGAGGCCAGGAACTCCCACGTATATAATTTTAAATGCGTTAATGATGAGATCTCATACGTTCCTCTCTCGTTCTATCTCATACACGCATAAGCGATAACGTAAATGTCGATAGATTCTTTTGCTACTTGTTTAGGGGTATTGTTTTTGCATAGGTACTATTAGATCTGGAGTAATATGCCATTTATTATAGTTGTGGAAAACATAGATTGTATTCATCTTATTAAAATTATTAAACAAAGTAAAAATTGTGATAGATATGCATAGCATTTACCCTCATATAAATGTTAAATAAGTCTGGCCAAGTCAATAATATAAATCAAATCAATATATAAAAACTTATTACGAATTCAGAAAAGTTACTTATTTCGAAACAATATATATAACATTGCTATGTATTTTTTTATAAGCAAAGGGGGTAATTCATAAAAATAATTCAATAAAGGAATTTTTAATATCAAACTACATATACTATGTAATGCTGGATACATATTGGTCCAAAATGGTGGGTGCAGAATCTATTATTCTGACTTTCTTTCAGTGTATATTAATTTTTACCTATTTAATGTTTTATTTTATGCGCACGTCACGTTTCACCAGTCTGTACTCGGCATTATAATCTCTAGTTAAAATTCATAAGTTATATTAAATATTCGTCCTGTATAAAATAGCAATAAGTATAACTATTTTTCTTTATAATCATTCCTAAAAGAATATAACTATTTGTTATTGAGAATACTAGTTATAAAGATTCACGGTTTATTTGAAAATAATGTTAGTTTCCTACCAAAAATAGATCTGATATTAATTTGGGGTTTTTAGTATAGACAAGCCAAAGTTACCCTTTAGATAAGCTAATATAAAAAAAAAATATCTCCACCATATTTCTAAGCAAATGTCTGTAATCTTATATAACTCGTGTTAAGATGAAATTGTTTATAATTGATAGTTTTTATAAAAATCTAATAATTAATATAAATTTTAAGTGCCTAAAACCCCGAAAGTAAATGTTATAAATTAGAGATTGTAATAAAATCTTGGTAATACCATTTTGCCTTCCTAATAATTAGGATCTATAAATAAAGATTAAAATATATATATTTGGGAGTGATAAGTAAAATTTAAGAGGCTTTCTAAAGGCTGACTAGACTTATTAATAACCGTGCTATATTTTAATTAATTTTATGTAACATATTTCATTTTATATACCTAGGTATTTACTGTTATTAGTAACGTAAAGAATAGAAAATGAAGAAAAGTATAATAAAGTGTGTCCTAAGTCTGTAAAATTAATTTTAAATATGCATAAATTAATTTGTTATCGATCTGGGTACTATAAATACCCAAAACAAATTATTATTTTAAATAAAAAGTGCAGATGTCTGAATATTTTAAATATTTGTAATTTAAATAATTGTAATTACCTACGCAAAATTCTAAAAATTTAAATGACAAAGGTATATGGAATGACTAATATATTAGTTTTAGTTTTTTTTTTAGAATTTAAAATAATAAATATAATAATTTAATATATAATAATAGTTATTAATGCACATGAATTTTATATAAATAAAGTTAGATAACACGTACAATTTTCGCCAAAATATTTTTTACCTAGTTTGTATTAGATAAATATAAGCGAAATCACTGTGATAGAATATAAATTATTATTTTTAATAAATACTAAATGTGCAAATGTGGATATTATTTGTACCTTCGCTCATGCATTACAACAAATATGCCTGTAGATTCATATTCATACTCGGACATTACTTATTCCCAAGGTTACAAAAACTGCACTAAAAAAGTTATTGATCATTTATAATTCCCATAACGACAATATAAAATGAACATTTTATACTATCATAAAGTAGCCTATAGAATCCCCATAACTGAAAAAACATAACACCATCCCGTTTATAGAAATGCATCAAATCGTTCGAAATATACTTACATTACCTTAAAATGAATAATACAATCTATATGATGTTGCGTCAAAGATTCCGACCTACTTACATACATGGAACACATTATTCACTATCATTCAGCAAATGGGTAAAGACTTTCCTAAACCATTCTCATTTATTCTCGTATAAGGGATAAGTATAGGTACATTTCATAGTCTACTGTTTAAATAGCGAATATAAATAAATATACGCTATTTAAAAAGTTACGAAAAATGTAATTGTATTAGAATTTTATAATTGTATTAAAATAAAACACATTAATCCCAAATTTAAAAAAATGAATTATATTAAATGAATAAAGAAACTGAATTAAATGGTCACGAGCTAAAATTATGACGCAATAAACGCTACGCTGATTGAAATTAACGACAAAATATCTGGATTTCATCACTGAATGTAAATTAAATCAATATAAACAACAGCTTTTTATAAACGCGAACATGTTTCCCTCAGTTGGCAAATTCAAATGACCTCTTCTACAGCATCAGCAAGGACATGTTTTGAATGCCAGCTTAAGGTGATTCCATCGAATGGTGTCCAAATTTCGGATATATTGACAGATATTTCAGGTATCTTTCTTTTCACTATCATTTATTGGTTTTGCAGTGGCCGGCGGCTGCTCTTTCTCTTTTGCTAGCCGTTGTTTGCTGAACTTACCCATGCCTGGTTGGTATATGACGAGGCTTGGACGATCCTGAAATTTATTTACATCCTTGTTAACATGATATCCTCAAAATACGATAACAAAGCATTTTTTTTTAAAAAGAGTAGTTTTAAATTTATTAAAAACTAGCAGCCCGTCCCGGCTTCGCACGGGTGGACATTTTTACATTTTAAAAAGTGAGCATTAAGGCTGCACACGCGACGGAAGTTTAAAAATGGAGTAACTTCTCCAACAGTATGTTTTCTCAACATTTCCCTTCACTTCTCTGCTCCTGTCAATCGTAGCGTGATGAAAAGTATACTATAACCATCCCAGGAGTATGAAGAATAATTGTACCAAGTTTCGTTAAAATCCGTCGAGTAGTTTTTGTTACTATAACGAACATACAGACAGACAGACAATTCTACTGATTGCATTTTTGGCATCAGTATTGATCACTAATCATCCGCTGATAGTTATTTTGGAAATATATTTCATGTACAGAATTGACCTCTACACATTGGTAAATGATGTGACATCATTAAAACCAATAATTTTTACGCCAGAAAACAGATCCTAACTTAACATTTACGATACTTTATATAATAATTCAAGCCAGCAAAGCTATGGGAAACAATTATACCTTATTTCTTATTCTCCTTTCAGTTCGACGGTCTGTACTTTCACTTTTTTCTTTTTCCTCAGACCCTTCCCTGTCAGTCGATTTGCTTCTGTCTTCAAGAGATTTTTGCCTTTTCAATGTAGATTCCTCTTTGACCGGCAACTCACCAGATTCTAAACTACTTCTTCTAGTTTTTGTTATACCAATAACATTATTTTCTGATAAGTCTTCCGAGTCTTTTTCTACTTTTGAATCTATTTCATTTAGTTTTAATTTTCTATCCATACCATCAATTATCTTTGCAAGGTCATCAGTTTTCACCTGAGGCAACTGGGTGAAAGGTTTGATATCGTCATGATTAAGAGTTTTTGTTTTACCTTCTGATGACATAATTTTACTTATTACTGATTGTTTTTCCGATTTTATAAATTCAGTCTGTTTGACTTTCCTTGTGTCACTATACTTTTTGCTTTTAAGTTCACGAGGTGACTCTTTATATTTATCTCGTTTTTCTTTTTTAAACCCTTTGTCAGAGTCTTCACCTTGATCATCATCTTTACTAGTACTCTCCTTCTTATCACTATCCATCTTTTTCTTTTTATCTATGACAAGATTACTCCCAGTCTTACGTTGATCCCTGTAAGCCTTAGATTCAAATATAGTTCCATCTTTATTTTCAGATTTTGAATCTTCTTTACTATCAGTTAAAGGCTTTTCTTTTTCCCAATCTCTTGATTTAATCTTCTTGACTTCGCTATCTGCGAATTCCTCTTCCTGAAAAAATAATTATAACCTTTTACTGCTTATATTATACAATATTTTTGTTACTACCTACTATGTACTAGTACTAAACCATCAAATGTTTAAATTTTATATCAGAAAATAATTTAATGGTATTTTTTTTCAATAACTTAGTTTGCTTATTTTAATCACCAATGTAGCGCTATTTTGATTAATTAATATAATTGTATTATTCTACATATTTGCAACTATTACTAATTTGTTTAAATATAATACAAATTAAACATAAGTAAACATATGTAAATATTATTTCACAATATAAATAATAAAATTAAACACTAATTCGTATACTACAATATCTAAAAGATATGTCTATAAATTATGAATGATCCATTAAAACCTAAAATTGTAACCTTGAAACATGTATCACCAGCACTTTTTTGACTACCTTCTTGAATCAACTCTTCTTTGCCACAAATTTTACCAGAAGTTAGAGTAAATGTATTATGTGTTTTCATAGATAATGCGGGAAACTGAGTGTCCCAATCTGAATCTGTACTAATAAACTCATCTGAACCATGACATTTAAATTCAGTTTTAACAAGAGTGCATTTCGTTTTACTTTTATGGTATACTCTTTGTTCTCCAAACCAAAAATTCTTATGTTTACTTTCACAGTAATCACAATTTTCATTATATGTTTCATCTTCTGATATATCACCAGGTCTCTATTGAAATTATCATTATTAAAATTAGATAAAAATAATTTAACTGTCTTAGCTTTGTTGGAATCCACATGAGTTGGTTAAAAAATTATTGAATAAATGATTTCCTTACCTGCTTTATCTATCTCAATCATCATTTAGTAATTTTTTTATTTAGTAAAGTGTGGAAGAAGCGAAAGAGATTTGTTTGAATTGAAGCATTTGGCATTCCATTGTTTCTGTCTACCCTAATGGGAGACAGGCGTGACAGATATGTATGTATGTATATATGTATGAATAAGTGTACAACTACTTTTTCTATGGCTAAAGCTAAATACAGAGTGAAACTGAAAGCATTAGATTATTTTACCAGCAAAATATGGGTTGATGGGTCATACTTTAATTTTTTTCTTTTATCAACCCATGTTTCTTCATGGAAAAATATTCAGTATCTCACAGATGGAAAATTCTCTTAAAAGATGTGATTAGTGTCCGAAATTACTTTCAATTTCATCTGTGTAAAAAACTACTTATGGGAGAAATTATACATATTACAATATGGTCACCTTTATGGGTATGTCTTTTGTTTTCCTTTCAATCCTCATTTTCCGTTTGTCATTTTCCCTTCTACGACGTTCGTCACGCCCTCGCTTATCCTGTTTACGTGCTGCTAGGTATTCTAACAATGGAGTAGATTGCACCTTCTTTTCATTCGCTATAAAAGTACAAAATATATTTTAATTAATAATACTGCATTTTAGTATAATAATTACACAGAACTATCAAATAAAAATACTTTTTATTTATAATAGTTAAGGATACAATTAAAAAATAAGTATGATTCCACATTGTTCAATTAAATCCTATTTGGCAGGAATCCTTTTTACTACTACTTCCTTAACTTTAGTTTAATTTTGCTATCATTAGTATGTGTGAGAGTATAAACATGCTATTAGTAATGGTCAGTTCTTAATGTTTATTGTTTACACTTAATGTTTGCAGTGACTATTGTTCAACATTAACAGATAATTAAATAAAATAATAATCATTAATATAATTCAATGTTTAAAAATTAGATGCCTAACTGAGAAATACTTTTCATTTTATGGAAGATCAGATTGTAGGGTTGAAGTTACCCACTCTCACTCTCAATTCACCCTCCCACTGATATACTTATACACAGCCTGGGTAATAGATAATTAACTTATGCAAAAAACAGTCAGCCCTTATGGAAATACCAGATAATGTATCTGTTATGAATATTATATCTGTGCATATATTTCTTATTCAATTATTCATTACATATAATATTATTGTTTTTTTAATTAATAATTCTATACGCACCATCATTAACTGGATATGAATATTCAAGTTTTGGCTGATTTTCGGTTTCTTGATCCTTGTTAAGATTTTCTAAAAATTCTTGATAAACAGGATCACTGTCAATAGTTCCACATTTTGGGTCTTTCTTTTTTTTCTTTTTTGGTATTCGCTGAAATGGGGCATATTCCACTATGCCAACATACTCAACTCCTGTAATAGAAATGTGTAATTAATTTTAAAACTATATAAGGATATTTTTGATCACAATACAAAAATCAGGCAATATTTATTTTTTCAAAAGTAAAAAAATTAAATTCTGAATGAAACTTACAAAAAAAATATATTTAAATTGTCACAAAACCAGTTATTTTGATTTTAAAAGTAAACTACTGATCTTGATTTAATTTCTATGAGACCAATCCTTTAAGATGGTGTTATGAGGTAACAAACACAAAAAATAAAAATTGAGAACATCCTTGTTTGGGAAATCAGTTGAAAATGTATAAATATTATATCAAAGATATAATATTATAATCCCTATGCTATATTGCTTATTTATATATCTCATCAAAACACAAAACATGATAAATTCTACAGCAAGAATCAGTTAATATCAACTATAATCAACAGAAAATAAAATTAATAAAAAAGAAAGTAAATTAATAAAGAAATTTAATTAAAGAATTTATGAACAACCATATCACTACATAGTATAAAACAAAGTCACTGTCGCTGTCTATCTGTCCCTATGTATGCTTAAATCTTTAAAACTACTCAACAGATTTTGAAGCAGCTTTTTTAATAGATAGAGTGATTTAAGAGGAAGGTTTATATGTATAATATATGCATAGTATTGTAGAGAAACACTGATAAATTTAAAGGTTTCTAATGTGATGTGATGCACCCATGCGAAGCCGGGGTGGGTCGCTAGTTATATATAAATTGGCTCTGGTTATGCTTTAAAAACATACATATATTGAAAAATGTGTCAGTGTTATTATAGATATGGGTATAATTTGCTACTCATGCAATCCTTTGACTTAGTATTATATAATACAAAAACCCTAATATTATAATTGTAAATAATTTTTAAACTTTAAAAGTCCCCTCCTATTATATCAAAACACATCAAATAATTAGTTATTTATTTATAGTATAAAACAATCTATATTTTATTTGTTTAGTTAAAAATAATAAAATTAGTGGCCACTTAAACATTAATATTTATAAATATCTTACCTTTCTCATCGAGAAAAATGTAGCCATCAAACTTATCTCTAAAAAGATAAATATCCTCGACGTTGACAAAGTTTATATACGCTCTCGAGTACACATTGTGTCCCAGAGATGGATCAGGCTTTGCAAAATAGAAATGATCGTGCTCTGGAATGGGTGACACTTGTTCTAAAAATGCCTCTTCTGTCATAGTTGGTGGTAACCGCCGAAGTATAAGCTGTAACAAAGTTGTAAATTAACTCCTACGATCTGAGAAAATTGGAAAGTTACTACTTCAAAAGTATATTAATCACTTTGGTCAGGGGCCGTTGAGTTTTCGTTTTCTTGTCTTTGTTCCTAACGGTAAACGTCTTGGTGCCGGAATCTGACTGTGGATCCTTGGCATCTTGATCCTCGGTCATTTTCGTATGCAATTTAGATTGAATACCGTATGTTTGTCCAATTACTCGACATTATAAAAAAAACGTGTAGATAGTGTGTCGAAGTGTCGTTTCGTGGTAATAAATATCTGACAGTTCGGTTCGACAGCCAAATTAAGATGACAGAATTGATAGTTGACAATTAAAGAGATTTTTCTTTTATTTGTTGTATCTATGGTCAGGTAAAGACTACCAATAAACTCATTACAAACCCGACATATTGTAAGAGTCACTTCGAACAAAATAAGTTTGTATAAGGTATATGCAACCACTTCACTAAATAGAACACTAAGGGAAACAGACTATGACAGGCGTGACAGATATGTAAGTAAAATTGTATAATGTTTTATAGTAAACTGTCTATGCTCAATCTAGACCTATCTAAAAAAAGATTTAAATCTTCTTGAAGAATGACTTTCTGTAAAATGGCGTATTACAGGATATACGATTACATTAATGATTAAAATGTATGGTCAAATTAAAATTAAACAAGGTATATATTAAACTGACTATTTAAAAAAAGCTTGTGAATAAATCTATGTACATCAGTATTATTTCTATTCTGTTCCCCTCTATTCTACTACAACGCAATAAAATTGTTTCTATTTTGGGTGGTTGCATAGATATTGTTTCCAGTTTCATTAGTATAAAGACAATGCTGACTCTTGTGTGAAGTAGTGAATAACGCTATCTTTGTCTATGTAATCTGTGAACACTACTCTGTATACATATGTATTAATTGTACCTAAATACTTTATATCATAGAGTAATCATATTTACTTACTTGTTATTTCTTTTAACCCAACCTTTTATTAAGTTTCTTAATATTAATACTAACTATTAACAAATAAACATGTATCACGCACGATTAATGTTGAGAAATGCTAATTGTCTGAGTAACATAATCGAAGGAGCGATATACAGACACGCAAATTTGTCATCTTTAGTGGTTAAGTCAAAGAATTTTTCTAGCACTTCTGATATAAAGACCCATCAAGAAAACGCACCTTTAGAAGAATCTGAAAGAGCTGGAGGTTTTGCTAAAGCATATGAAAAACAATCCCATATTCTTGATTCACAAGAAAATGAAAATCATACATTTGCATCGTTACTCCGGAATTCTAAGTTAATTGATGTGAGTTGTTTTTTTTTTCTTTTTATGGATGATAATGGAGTAGTAACTCCGTTTGGGCTATCGATATATGCTGGCGGGGTACCAGTGAGGAATGGTAGGTAGTAATAGGTGCGGATGGAAGTAATCGCCCCTAAGTGTATCCACTAGCCGTTAGTTAGCCTATCGTGACTAATTCCACAAAAAAATAACCACGATTTCCAAGAGGAACCCAGTGGAGGTCGACCCGATAGCCAAGATATATTGCTAGCAATGGGAATATTAAAACCCCATTACTGCCAATCCTTTCCCCTGACTTGGTCTTTTATGTAATATCATATTAGTGAGTCACCATTAAAAATTAGTTAAAAACAATATATTTTACTTTTCAGCTAGGAGATCCTGTGGGGAAAGTAGTTATTGGTAAAATCTTTCATGTGGTTCAAGATGATTTGTATATTGATTTTGGCTGGAAATTTCACTGTGTCTGCACTCGACCTACAAATAGAGGGGACGAATATGTAAGAGGAACAAGAGTCAGAATACAAATAAATGATTTGGAGTTATCATCTAGGTTCCTGGGATCCAGTTCAGACTTGACATTATTAGAAGCAGATTGTAAGTTATTAGGAATTGTTTCAACCCCAGTTAGAACTAGTGCAAAGGTATAACTTATTATTGGATGTAACTATTTAATAAATTAGTAGATTATTATACAGAATTGCTATTTTTTTCATACAATAGCTGACCTTTATAAGTAAATAGATGTGAAAAAGAATGTGAATGTGAAAAAGACTCCATTTTCCACGCTTAGCCTCTCACTTGGGCCATTGTGTGTAATAAGTAAATAGATACATACATATATATCTCTCACACCTATCTCCCATTGGAGTAGACAGAAACTATGGAACACCAAATGCTCCTATTCAAACAAACTTCTTTTGCTTCCTCAACATTTATCAATCTATTCTTACATGTTTGCTGGTTATGCAACTTCTGCTATTTGGTGAGCAAATGTCTGCTGCTGCCCTAAAGGCGGCCCCTGCTAATATTTCCATGATCTATTGAAGTTTAATTGAAACTATTGTCCATTTTTGCTATGAAAGTCTGCTCATTGTATTATTTATTTATTTATTTTATTTGGGATAACAACAGCTTTTAATAAAATTGAATACATATTACATTGCATTTACTATATGCTAGCCAATTATAGTTATCGACAGCGCAAAACATAAGCATCCATTAAGCAAATATTATACTATTAATAAGTAATATATTAATATTCAGAATTAATTAATTCTTTTGTTATTCAATAATGCTGTAATTATTCAATCAATATTCTCGATTTGTTTGCATTATCCCATTCATACTCAATTTAATTTACCAACAGGTGAACCTTATATTTGCCATTTACCTAAACAATTATAATTCTATGAAGTAGGTACTAGTTAATGGTGGGTAAACAATAAAAAATAAGTTTCAATTCAACAGTTTATTTAATTGACATAATTATATTTGGACAACATCAATTATGAAATATCTATATATAAACTACACTACAATAATAATGTATATTTATTGTCTTTCTTTGTGATTATTAAGTAATCTGTTTCACAGTTTAACCATAATCAAAGCATTTGAACATTCCAATGATTGAAACACTAAATATGGAAAAAATTCCAATAATGTTATATAAAAATAAATGGAATGTCAAAAAGCAGTTTTTTTATTAGTCCACTTGAAATGGTAAATATTTGGACAGTCCATTTGATGGTAAGTGGTAGGTAATCATCATCTATAGACTCAATATCATGGGGCATCACAGATTGCTCATGGCACCTCTCATATGTTTTTACTACTAGACGAGATTGACAGTGGTATCTATCACATATAGACTTGAACAATATAAGAACATAGTTACATATTACGCTTTTTAAAAACACCAATAGGTAACAGGCCGTAAATACAGTAATACTTATGCTCGCGTCTGGCGTTCTGATATTGAAGATGTTATGCCTCTTGACTCAGTGGTTACACTGAGTTTTCTTAGTGGATTTACACAATCTGGTTGACATTTACTTAGTACTGGATATATGAAAAGCGTGTGATCCCGGCATAGAATGAACCACCCCTTCCTTTTCTGTAGATTTCATAAGAGGCGATTAAGGACATGTAAGTTCCTATTAAACGTCACCAATGCCAAACTACAGTTGCTAACCCTCCTGCCAAGCATGGCAACTACGGGCAGAACTCAAGGGGAAGGCTTATCTTCAACAGTAAAATAGGTGATATGATGATAATGTGAAAACTGTATTTGATACTGATAAATTTTGTCACTTAGGGCCACAACTGTTAGAACACGTGAAAAGGCACCTAATGGTTGACGGCAGAAATACTCTGTACCTATTTCGGCGACACAAATCTACTACCTACTTTGTCCGTATCGTATGTTTCGATAAATATAACAAAGAACATATAAAATAAATACAACGGTTCAAAGCGCTTTCGCTGATAGGCTAATCATTAGATATTATAGGCAAATCTTTTATCTAATATTTTGACAAGAATAATAAGTATATAAGCACATACGGATAGATTTCAAAGCCATTTTTGTTTAATATTTGATAACTCACCTAATAATTGAAAAAAAGTAATTCTGAGTAAGCAAAATAATTAATTATACCCCTAGCCTATCTATACCATCAATCTAACCTATCTTTACTGAGATTATCATTATAACCAATATATTTTACTTGACTCGAATATAATTTGTTGAACACTGATTTAAAAATCATTAGTACCGCGTAACCGAGTGATCTTAGATGCATCAAAATCTCAAATACAATAAAATATTATATTTCATCAAAAGCTTTTTGAATTTAGTGAATTTATTGATTTTGTGATTTATGATCGTGTGTTTTAGGAAACCAATTATCAATTTTATTAATCTCACATAAGCAAAACCAGAATCACAAATATTATTCACTATATTTGAATTCAAGTGCAGAAAGTCCAAAAAACATATATTGCCATTAATATTTTTTCTATCTAATCCGAATACTTTTTTATAACATCGATACAACCATGAGATCGTCTATAAAATTATTCTTCTTTTTATAAGTATGTATTACTACCTACTGGGTGAGATTGCTGTGTAATTTGATCGAGATTCTTCTTTAGTGTACTTTGTCGCCATTCCTAGACACTATCTCTTGTATACTAGGATCTTTAACAGCATCATTAGCATCCCCTTTTTCAAGAATTTCGTCCACCGCCGATGTAGATGCGTCATTTTCTTGGTCATTTGGATGGGCTAACTCCCATTCTTTTAAGTATTGTACTACGGCTGTATGACCAAAAGTCTCGGCCTCGTTTAGCGGACGGCTGCCCCAGCGATCTCTAGGGTCATGAGGAACAGCACACTGAGCAAGGAGAAAGTCAACGCAGGCCAAATGGCCCTCTGCAGCCGCCAAATGAAGCGCTGTTCGGCCATCATAATCAGATAAGGTCATATCCATACCAGATAAATGATGTCTGAAATTTTAAAAGGTAAAAATAAGTATCACCATTATTAGAAAATCTGCAACTACATTGTAGCATTGCATTACATACTAAAGCTATTGTGTATGTAAAAAATTCAATGTGTTACGTTTTTCTTCGGTAAAAATTCCAGAAAGAGGAAAAACTTGACTTATACCATGTTTGTCCTGAGGTATATTGCAGTATCATGCATTCCTTTAACGTACGTAAGGAAAATGCTTACCAATAAATTGAAATTGATAATTAGTTCGTAAAATTTTACCAAATAAAATCTTATTGAGAATCAGTGATCTACTAAAGATGTACTTAAATCAGTACATAATATCATGATGTATATAATTCGACTAAAGCAAATGAACAATGGTCTAAATTATTAAAAACAATAAATAATATGATAATCTAAACCAAGCAAGCCAATGTATAAACTAATCAACATTTCATTACAATAATGATTTTTATATAATAATTTTCGTGATAGGAACTCTAAGCATTGTATATCCAATAGAGATATATGTGTTTGGTCGCACCATTTATTTACTTTGTAATTTGGCGTCGAACGCAATTATTTTGGTGACTTCACTGGCTCGGGAAGTAGAGATGATTTGGAAGAAGTGCTGATAAATAACAGTTTTGGTCATTTTACTGATACTATTGTTACAACTAATACCTATTTATTATCATAGCATAGTATTTCTTTTACTTTCCAAAGCAACATACCTTCTCAAAGCACTGAGATCACCACTTGCTGCAGAAAATAGAAGATTGACAATACTAAGGCCCGTTGACTCAAACTTGTACCGTCGAGGATCTTTCTTATGACTTGCATAACGAATATTATCGTACTTATGGAAGTTGAATCTTTGGATTAGTTCCTAAAACAAGCACAATATATGCATATCTATGTTCTAAATGTAAAAGTAGCTTTTTGTGTAAAAATTGTAAAAAGGGATCTAAAATAACAATGAATTACCTAAAGTAGTGCCAATTTAATAAACCAGGTTATTTAATGAATGAATATATACCTATATGATCAAAGAATTCTTATCAATTTCTTACATGATATAGTTTAATTGTCAAAGTAATCCCTATTTGTTGAAACGCTAACCCCACCAATACTAATGGTTTATGTTGACGGTCCAGGACGATAGACGAGTATTTAAGATCAACTGATACAACATGACGAATAGACAAGGATTATCCACGATTGTTTAAAGGAATATCGCAAGTTCAGATTAATCCCATTCTTCTTCCTCTTCCTACCCTTATCCCAATTATGATTTGGGATCGGCGTAATATGTTTTTTATACATATTACAAAAATATTTAAAATTTACGACCGGCTACCTGCCTGACGTCAACCCTCTTTGGGAATCAAAAAACACAAATATACTATTTAAGAATGTATACTCACTTCACAAAATTGCAGTCCTCTGCAACTGTTCCCGAGAGGGTCAAGGGGTGGGGACCACGTGCAGATTCCCATAACATTAGGTACTACAATAAGCATCGCTCCTGACACTCCAGACTTTGCCGGCAGTCCCACTTTAAAAGCAAATTGTCCGGAGTAATCGTACATTCCGCAGCTATGCATCAGTGACAGCACATTCCTCACAGAATCGGGCCGTAGGACTTTTTCGTCGGTAATAGGACAGATGCCGCCATTAGCTAGTGTCGCTGCCATTATTGACATAATATCACAGTTTGCCTCCATAGAACAACACTGAAATTGTTTAAAGAGTATAAGATAATAGAGGACCTAAATTTAAAAGTTTGTGATTGTGAAATATTATTTATATAAAAAATTATGGACTAGTTATCTTCTACACTGACTCACAAGATGTAAAGAGCTCGATCTATGAAAGCTGTAAAATTCTTCAAGTGCGATAGAATGGGACCCTTAGTCTCCATTATTAACGTTCCTTCTCCCCCCAGCGCGATAGAATTGATAGCACGTACCATATCGCTTGAAGTGTGAGCCGAATGTATGACAATTTTACTTCTTATTAAATAAACATTTGTGAGCATAATGTTTAATTCAAAAATGTATATTTATTTACCTATTTTTCTAATATTTATTATGTTTATACAAAAAAAAAATACTGTTTATTATCATTACAATTCTTGATTGATTTAATAACTACAGTATTTAACAATAAATAACGAAGGCAGCTCTACCTTTTATACTAACCTGAAAATAAAAATCCATACACTCTCGAAGATTAGTTTTCTCCGGATAACATTTGTGCTCACGCATGTAAAATCCAAGTGCATAATTCCGATCGGCAGCTTCGCGTTCAGACAAAAATACAGCGTTATTGAAACCTAACACTTCATGGCCAGCCAAGCGGCTGAAGAATGACATCACGTAGTCAAACTTTTCGGCCAGAGTCATCTCTGGTTTATCCAATGTTTTCAGTAACGAGCACACTAGGATTGCCCCAGCATTGATCATAGGATTATGTGGTTTCACTGTCGAAAAATATAAAAGAAAAGAGTTATTTCTGATAGCTTTATTTACCCTACCAGCAATAGTACTGACCAATATCAAGTTATCAATATAAACATCAATTAAATAAATAGTAGGTACAGAGGTAGAAAGTCCTAAATTTATATAACATTTATAGTGCATGCAGTTTGACAAGTACGTATGTTGTTTTAGACGTAAACATGTTTAATACGCACTATTATAGTCCAATACGAGTTCATTGAAGTTGCGTCCGCTGGGCTCTGTGCCAACATATTTATGCACCACGTCAGGGCCCAGAGTCTCTAGTGCCATAGCATATGTCAGTGGCTTGCTGCATGATTGCAGAGTGAATGGAACTGTCACGTCACCTGGTCCGAAAAGATAAATAGAATATAAATAACAACATTAGACAATTATTTACCAGATATAAATAGCTGCTTCTCTCTGAATACACAAGATAACTGATACATAGATATCGCAATTTATATCAAAATGTGTTCTTTTATTATTTATTTAAATAAAATTGAAAAAGTAAAGTAAAAGAATTTATTTATATAAAAGAGTGTCACTACTAAATTACTAGCACTGGAACTAAGAAATATAACTATTGATTTAATAATATATTCCTTCCTGCATTAAAACGCATCCGAAAACATTACCTGTTTTCATTAACTTTTAGTATGAGACCAATACGAAACAAACCCTGTCAATTGAAAGGAAAGGGGTTATTAGAAATAAAGTCTAAAATATTGCCCTATATAAATATATAAATAATATAATATAATAAATAGTACCCTATATTGCAATATTAGGTCGATTCCCACGCGATTCCCCCTGAATACCGTCATAGATAATTCTTGTCAAATTCGTAACGATGGGCCAACTGACCTATTTTAATCCTCACCTATTATCATTCACTGATGCTCCACTAGCTTATACCGATAACGCAGACGGGGTTACCGTTCCATGTACACCCTTAAAAAATCCCTGTCCATTACAAAAATAATCATTAAAATAGCATTGCAAAATCGTAAATTCGAACACTCACCAATAGAAAATCTTTGACCATCTATCGTGCATACACTAACACCCCAATTCTCAGGACTTGCTCTTGCTAGTTGTGGAATATAACTGGCAACCTTGCCATCTGTATTACTTTTAGCTGACCAATACATTTCTTCTATATCTTTGATGAAATCCTGAAAATCTGGAATGACGAATTGACTACGAAATGCCCTTGTTATTAAAACAATATTTGGTGCGATCACTTCTTTAAATGTTTTTCTGTCTAATTTCAATGTCTCTGGAGAACCTCCCTCAAAATTTGACTCTTTGTGTGCTTTGTATAAATTAAGCATAACTTCTTTGACGCGTGCGTCATTTTTTCTTATTCCAGTTGTTCTCAAGGCCTGAAAAATATCAAATGATTAATTGATTCTCATTTTTAGGATTATTATTAAAATTACTAGTCCCATTCTAATGCCGTGGCTTCCATACTAATAAAAGAATCATTATTTACGATTAAATAATTTTAATCATCAAAAAACCTTTATTGGCTTCAATGCTTGTGGGCATCATTCCTCAGGACACAATCTATTATAAAAGCAATAGTACATACCGTAGAAATATATTACAGGTTGTTATTAATCTCATCTGTATACTATCCTACCTAATTGTTTACAGATATCTAGTTGAAACAAATCTACGTACGAGATGACAAATTTATATTGTTTGATAATTACTTTAAATTCCAAAACCATCAGTATAGATGATGAAACTTAATTTTGTACAACCAACATTTCATTATCCATGTCTGAACTGAATAAGCTACATAGAATGAAATATAAAAACTTACGGCCAAAAATTTTCCAACTGGTAGAAGTCCAGTGTCTTCATTTTTGAACATATCGAATAAAACATCATCAGCATTTTTATGCGATCCTTCTCGAACTCTGTACAGAGAAATGTATTATGAAATGCCCCGTAATAGTAAATTAATACTAAATCTAATAATTAAAGCTAATAATAATAACTTTATTTATAAATCAACATGCAACACAAACATATACAAGACCTAATGAGTGTAGAAGTGTAGGTTTAAATCGTTAGGGTTGTATTTACCTTTATAATTATATTTATAGTAAAACTGAAAATAACCCTAAAATAGCTGCACAAATGTATCCATCTAATTATTATTACTAACAAACCTATTTTCTTTGGAATTCCTATGTAGCATTAAATAGGGAAATAGGTGGATGTTTATTTAAATAAGTGATTAGTAATACATTAAATAGATATACAAATTTAGCAGTTCAATATTTATACAACGACATGTAGCCATCACGATCTAATATTGAATTTGACGTAAACGGCGGGTGTGTCGATGACGTAGGTAGCGATAGCCATTATTCTTGTGTGATCATATGACTTCTACAGTTTTGAACGAGCAGCCAACATCGTTAAAAATAGTTTCAGGTTTTAGGTAATTAGGCAGGTAAATTACTGTACTAAGATTATAACATTTTGTTAGATATTTATTTAAAACGCCAAAATCTACCTACTCCTACATATTTTATTAATATTATAAATGTCAGTTTGAATGTTTGGATTGCTGCTACTTAATTACGCTAAACGGCTAAACAGATTTGAATGAAATTTGAATCACAATTATGTGTATACTAGGTCAACTCTAGTTTTTTGAGTAGTAATTTACGCAATAATACTACGTCTAACAGCTATTCAATAATGTTATGTATATCCAATATTATCCAGTACCAAATACCTACAACGTATACATTAGATATAAAATTAGATAGAGAATACATTATTCTCTATCTAATTTTATATGGAATGCAAATGAAACTACAATTTAATATTAATCTACGAAGCAATAAAACCTAAAACTACCAAAAACCATTTCAAAGAATTTGTACACTTACAAACACAAGCAAAACTAAAAAAAGTTTTAAAATGAAAATCAGTAAATAATACAATAATTAAACGTATACAATAGTTAAATAAAATTATTCTATCTGTCTGTTAAATTACAGAATTATTAAATAATTCGAAGATACGTCACTCAGCGCTTTTCTAAGGAAAGATGGTTTGAAAATAATATGTCTTAAAATTGCTACAAAATTTTGGCATGCGACACAACAACACAGTAAAACTCCTAGCGTGATTACTCACTGTACTGGATCAAGGTTGTGCACGAACGAGTATGGTCTGCACCATGAAACATATTTAAAATTCATATTTATATCTATAAGTTAGAATAAACTTGAACTATGAGTACTTATAAAGATTTTTACATAATTATATTTTTAATTTGATTGGATTCACTCATCAACAACAAGTTGATAATATTATATATTACATAATGATGTAAGTAATATACCAAATCTAATTAATGATCCGTGAAAGAAAATATAATTTCGTTTACGAGCGAAAGCCTCTGGCATACTAACAGACAAACGAAAATAAAAGAGTTTTTTAGGAAATGAAAAAAAGTTTTTAATGTGATGTTATTTTTACCTAATATTTCTTAATTTCTGTTTATATTTTTATTTTTCAACCGACATCAAAAGAAGAAGGCTCTCAATTCGGTCGCCATTTTTTAGGTTTATTACCTCATAACCCCATCAGATATAATCGACTTGAAAAATTCTTTTTTTATCTAAAAGGATATACTTACAGATTTTATAAAAATCGGTTCAGTACTTCATTCTTTAAAACAAAATAACTGGTTTTGTCACAATTGAAGACTTTTTAACACATTTTTTCATTTACCTTTATCTCCGCTAATTAATCCGTTTTGAATTTTCTTCTCGCAATAGACAGAGTTTAATCCCGTGTTGGTCTTATGCTTATTTGTTCACGATTGAAGTTGTTATTTCTTTATGGGAAAAAAATTAAAATTATCCCTAATGAGCGTGGAACTCTACCAACGGTATACCTAATTTGCATAAGTAATGCGGTTTTCGTATTCACTGAGCAAGATTATTTCCTTAATCAGTAAATAACCAGGCAGTTGTCATGGATTTTAAGCAGTTAATTGATATTATTAATTACAAAACTTCCTTGTCTAATTTAACAGAACACAGTCAATTGTAGATCGATTTTTAGTAAAGTTATAATATATATACAAAAAAAAAATCTATTTTTAAAACAAAAATTAAGAGAGTCTATATCTACTTTAAAAATGGTATATTTTTACTTTAATTATTGTAAAATATATGAGATATAGGTATACATAGATAGATATTTAAAATTCCAGGGTAAATGTAACAAGTAGCTGCATTATTTATGTAATAGGCGACACATAGTGGCGCCAGCAAACCCGTTTAATATAGATCAATAGGAGTTGATATGGTTCATTAATAACAATTGGTTTCTAATAAAAGAACAACACTTGCTGTTGCATACAAATATAAACGTTTTAATTTGAGTGCGTAAAATATTTTAAATTTATTTAATTTAAATTTAATTTAAAAATTAAAATTACGTACCTCATTTCGATAGTTTGAACAGAGTAAAAATGCGGTGCAGAATTGCGCCATTTCTGTAACAATTAATTTAAAACATGTAATTATTTTTATTCAATAAGAGGTTTACGTAAGTAACCATCTATTACTGTCTTATAAGTCACCACCTAATAAACATATACAAAACACACTCACTTCGGGTTTGCTTATAACATAGACGGGTCTCACTTGACTGTAAAGACGGCAGCAGACGCATGCTGGTTGGAAAACGGGCCTGGGGACGATAGCGAGACGGAGGAGCCTACGGCTGTTCATGGTGACCACGTACCACAAAAAAGACGGGATAAGTCGGGCATCAGTTCGCGCTGGCGCTTCGTCGTACGATGCCAGAGCGCAAGCGTCGACTATCCGGCCCCGTATACGATCAGTCGTAACTTATCTACTTATTTACCTTCAGTATTTACCTACTGTGTAACGTACTAGAGTTGCGTATGCATACAGACAATTTGAATGTTTCATATCTATATTTATCTAGTTCAGTGTTTCAGGCAGTTCGTATTTGAGATCTTGACATTTGTGTCAAGATTCCTTTAGAGGAATTGTTAAAAAACTATCGTACCACGTATAGAACAATATAAAAGATACAGATTGTAAAAAAAAAAATTATACCTACCTCAAAAAATATTATATTTCATATCAGTCATATGGCTATCTTGCGAATACTCTTATTTCAAGGTCATATTTATTTCATTAATAAGAGGATAATAAATACGTCAGAAATGGCACATTATATCTGTAACCAATGCAAATTTAATGCAAATCTACATACCCAGTAGTAAGATAAATATCTTACGCGTGATATGTGCATAAATTTAACAAAATAACAAAAACTGCAATCCGGTTGGATAAATTAGTATTTGCTATTTTACTCATATCAATTAATCTCTTCAGCGGTACACTCTTGACCATTCTGGTCATGGTTTTCATGATTATAGAGATTTGTCGATGAGATTCTTCTTCGTTCGTATTTTTCATATAGTTTTCATTTCACACGATATGACCGAAGTAGGTACTTGTGAATTCATATTTGAATAATCGAAAATAATCTCTCTCTGATTTTTATGTCGTTCAGTATGGAAACGTTGGTTCAGTAAACAGAGCATCAGCTTTTCGGCGTTCTTTTGCCTGATCGTCCAAGTCTGTGCACCATACAAGAAAATTGGGAAAAATAAACTCCTTAATGATGTTACGGTTCTTTCAGATTTAATGCAGTTTGCTTACAACTGTTTTTGTGGCATCTCCTTCTTATCATTAATAGTAGTTTATTATTATATCAGATAATAAATACACGCTAAATGACTTCTACTTTGTTGTTAACTTACAAAATGTCTATGTAATTGATTTTTAGATCAGTTTAACTTTTTCTATCGAGAAGAATTTTTATAAATATTATGTTATTTGTTTGATAATATATTGCATTATAATAACAATAACAGATTTTGTTCTACAAAAAAAAATGCCGACTTCAATCGTGACAAAAGCACTTATTTTTATTTAAAAACTAAACTACTAAGCCGATTTTGATAAAATTTCTATGGGGTTAATCTGAAAGTATATCCTTTATAAATAACGAACAAACATAAAAAAAATGCAACCGATCTAAAAACATTCTCCATTTTGAAGTTGGTTGGCAAACTAAAGAGAAAGAATGATCGTAAATATCTTCACTAGACTTTCGAGTTTGTGCTCACTGTTTTGCTATTATAAACATATCTCAATACTTACACACAATGACGAGAGTATGACGACGTCTCTAAGTGGAATGGTAAATGAACTGACGGTTATTGGTAACCTTCACCTTGACATAAACAACACAACGGACATCAAATGATAAACAGACATCTGTGATGCTTATGATACCACATGCTACATGTGTTGCAATTCCTAAAGACTTTTATGGGTGAAATGGAACGATGCACCCAGTTATGTTAACGATATACAATAGCGAGGCTCCAGTGAAGATGAAGTGTTGAGATCGAAGTCAGGACTGTTAGCCCATTGCGGCGAATTAGCCAGAAATTAAACAAGATGGTTTCCAGGGCGACTGCATGGAGGTCGACCTAATAGAATATATTGCTAGCAATGGGGTCGCAAGTCTCTAGGCTGATATGCCTTCGTACCATAGTATTTTAACGTCACTTATCATACTCTTTAAAAATAAGCTAGGAACAGCTGCTTGGACAGATAGAAAAACCCATACTTTATAGAGTCTGTCTTGCTCTCTCAATTTACTGATACTATAAGAATACAATTATTCTTATGCTTATACCTTGGTCTACTGAACTATCATATATAATTATTACAAAAATAAAAAAAAAAATTATTTGTCCTTGTAGAAAAATGAGGGTTGAGGGCCAACACCAAGCTTTTTGTTTATGTATTATGTTTTCAGTTTCAGCTGAGACTTGGTTAAAATATTAAGCAATACCTATTACTAACTATTCAGTAAAAATTTCAGTAAAATTCAATATACGAGTACTTTCCCTTCACCTTCTGAATGTTTTCCCCTAATCGCTTCTACGTCATGTCAGGGAAGAATTTTTATATAAAAGCAATATTTCCTCTAAATTCAATTTGCTTTTTCCCTGTTGATATATAAAATAATTATTTTATTTTTGGAGTATTATTGCAAATTCTCAAAGTATCTACATTTAAGTAAAAGTTATATGCAATGAAAAAAAATAAACAAACAAATACTCGACTATAAGAATTACAATTTAATATTAGAAATAAATACAACATCTTAATTTAGATTTGTAAAACTACAGTCCTTAATAAGTAGCGTGTAAGAACTAATTACCTCAAAGTCATTGCTATTCTCCATCACAAAATCTTCGTATCCTTTACAATAAAATCGCATAACAGTTATGGATCTAAGGTAAAGACGCGCGTGCGCTGCGACGCGCGAAAATAAACACAGCGAAAATCGCGAGATTCGGACACTTCCACTTACAGTGCACTGGAACATACTTCTTTAGACAGCTGATATAAATATCTTACATCCAGTGCCAAGCGGTTGAAGACGGGAACGTTACTATATTTAGCGGACATAATGATTACTAAAAGGTGTGCTATATGTTCACTTTATAAACATTATTTGTTTCTTTTAACAAATGAAACATAAATAGGCTTCGAATTTCTTAATACTAAATCGGCTGTTATCTCGAGATCCGACTCACGGGTGACTGGCATCAGTTCAAATTCCCGAATGATTGCTGAAAGGGCTATCTTCATCTCCATAATTGCAAATTTTTGACCTGAAAATAAAATAATAGGTAGGTATAGAAATAGCAAGCAACAATCGATAGTTAAATCCAAACTGTAAGAAATATATATGCGAAAAGTATTGATATTTCTAATAAAAACAAAGAAAAATATCAATATTTCTGAAAAGTATATTTTAATGACTGTCAATAAAACCTTACATGGTAACACAGAGCCGCTATGGGGGGAAAGGGATTGTTAGTAATGGAGACTGAGAATCCCATTGCGAGCAATATACTCAACCAGGTCGACCTCTTTGCGGTTCTCCCTGGAAACTATCATGGTTAATTCCTAATGAATTCATCATGATGGGCTAACTGGCCTGTTTTCATTCTCATCTATCACCCTTCACTGGTGCTCCGCCAGCGTATCCCATTAGCGCAGGCGGGGTTATCATACCATTTTCACCCATCAAAAAAAAACACAGAGCCGCTTGTTTTTTTTTTTAAATCCATATCGCCAAATGGCTTAATTAGCGGAAGTGTACCCTTTTTATTTTGATTTTTGTTCGGATTTTTTATACTGCAGCAAGTATATACTGTTACAACTCATGAGGAAACCCAAAGTCATAACCTCACTCACATGTATTCTATAATCTCCATGGTATGTTCATAACAACAGCCATTAATTTCCATCAGATGTGTTGTTTTTTGTTTACCATTTCAATTGCATAAAAAGAATTAAAAATATATCATGTACGTTTTTAAAAACTCTGAAATAAAATTGTTTAATCAATACCTATACAGTTTCTAGGGCCCGCACTGAATGGTATGTACGCGTAGGGATGTCGCCCTATGCAGTTCTCAGGCAGGAAACGATCAGGGTTGAACTCTAATGGGTTTTCAAATAAATCAGCCCGTCGATGCAAATCATAAATATGGATATTGCAGTATGTTCCTTCTGGAATTTCGTAATTACCTGAAAAGAAAGGTTGTTTTAAGAAATAAAAGAAAACATATATCTAGACTACGTTCTATCTAATTATTTTTTATTAGTCAATATTCCCATATAGCTTCGTTACAATCAAAGTATTTCTTTTGCCGTGTAGTCTCGGCATAAAATAGCCCACCTTTTCCTTTCCCGTAGATGAATAATAAATAAGAAGCGATTAAGGGAACTTAATATAATATAAAATAAATTTTATCCAAGTAAACTTAATAATAAATATTTTTGTATAGTCACTTTTTTTATAACTATCGTCCAGTTTGGAATGCAATTTCAGCTGAGTAAAAAGGGGAACAAACACGGCTGTTGTTTTTTTTTCAAATATAAACTAAGTTTACAACCAAAAAAAAATATGAATGGATAAAATGCCTATTCCAAACTTCATATTTATAATGAGTAAGAAAATAAAAAGCTACCAAGCTACACTCAATCACAATGTTCTTGAACAGACCAATCCCTACTAAAAGCACCCGTTCACGAGTATGAGGTATGAGCCATCGGTGTGTTCATCTATATTATAGGGAGCCCAACGACCCGGTCCACCACGCTGTCACCAATCTGAACATTAAAGTGAGCGTTACTTGTTTCAAGATAGGCAGTTATGTCAATATTATAAATACCAATAAAAATGTGACAGTTAGTAAACCCACTTATTACAAAATTAAAATGTTATACATATAATCAATTAAATAAAAAATAATTCTTTTTAAAATACTAAATAAATCAGTAAAACAATAAAAAAATTTAAAAAATAAACAATGTCAGCAACTGTGTACTGTAATAGGCCTTTCCAGAAAGATTCTTTTTTTATAACAGCTTTAAAACATCATTCGGGTAGGTCCAGGATAGATTTTGGCAGTTTAATATAAAATCTTACATGATTTCCTAAGAACGATACGAATATACCGACCTTTTTCAGTCGACATAGTGGCAACAATGAATTGTCCTTATGGCATAATTTTGTATTTAATGGTTTACATTGGTAAAAGATTGTAAGTTTTTCCTTACATACATTGTTTTAATAAATGTATTGAGAGGCAACTGTAATATCCTTACAGTTGCCTCTTTAAAACATTATCGAACAAATACTCTTGAATTCATATTATAAATAGAACGTAGAGCTCTTTTTTATAATACAAATGTAGTGTGTATATCTGCAGCCTTACCCCACAATAAAATACTATAGGCCATAATACTTTGAAAATAGCTAAAATAAACAATTTTGGCCGTTACTACATCCGTTAATTGTCTAATTGTTCTAATTGCATAGGCCTACTGACTTATTTTTGTATATGAGGCCCCCGCTGTAATTTTGAATAATAGTGATGCCAAGAAATGTGGTATCATTAACAAAATCTAATGATCGGCCGTCTAATAATATATGAGTTTCAACTTGTCTTACATTAGGAAGAGTGAATTTAACACATTTTGTTTTGTTCGCATTCATTAAAATATTATTACTTGTAAATTATTTTAAAACTGCAGAGAGAGTGCTATTTTTTTCGTCAAAACTAATACTTTAACGGTTAAGTTTAAATAGTAAAGAAGTATTACCGGCAAACAGCACGATGTCGGCTGTTTGTTCTGCCAGATAAGGCCATTTTTGTTAACTAAGAAGAAAAAAAGACCAATGATTGAGCCTTGAAGTACACCCATTTTGAAGTTCGCTCCTTTTAATTTAATACCACTAATCTCAACAGTTTGTAATCTGTTAGTTAAGTACGAATGAATTAAGATTAAGGCGTTGTCTCCAATTCTATGATATTTTAATTTGAGCAATAGTATTTGAAGGTCCACGCAATTAAAAGCTTTTGAAAAGTCACAAAAAAACTCCAATGGTATCCCGTGAATTTTTCCATGCATCATATATATGACTTATAGGAGCATCGGTAGTCGACTTACTCGTACCCGCGGTAAAAGCGAACAGTTGACTGTGAAGAAGTTCATTTTCTTTAAAATGTTTAAACATATGATCAAGCTTAAACTTTTTAAATACTTTACTCAAGACGTTTAGAATTGAAATAGGTCTGTAGTTATTAAATTCAGAATTATTCCCAGATTTAAAAAATAGGTATTAGTTTTGCCAGTTTCATTCAATAAGTAAAAACTCCATTATCAACACATTCATTAAAAATAACAACTAAATGTGGAAAAAGAATATCAATAATTTTATTTATAGCTTTAATTGATATACCCAATGATCCTCCGTGTTCTTCAATTCAAATTGTTTAAAGGTTTTTATTAATTTTTGTGGGCATACATATTTGAAATAAAAAATGACTACATTACAACATTTTCTATAAAAAAGACTTGGTTAATTGTGGAGAAGAATCGAGTTTAGATATCCAAACTAACTATACTATATAAACTATACAGACATAACAATTTTTTTTTAAATTAAATGCAAGAAATTTTGACACAACATTCAACAGAAAATGTAACGATATCACTACATTCCTTAATTTTAATATTATTTCTTACAACAATCATTGATCCACCTCTAATTGCTCTATTAGCAGAGAGCTAAAGTAGCTGACATTATTATAATTGTTTAAATCAAACATAATACTATAAAATAAGTAATGAAACCTAAATTATGGTACTACTACTATAATACTACTACATAGTATAAATTCAGGTTTTCTTACTCAGAGTCAATGTTCCGTTTAAAGCGCGACTTATAATTGGAACAGGCGGGTATAAACGCATAGATTCCTTTATACAGTATTCTAAGTATCGCATTTTCGACATGTCCTCAAAGTTGGCAGGTCGTGATGAATCATCGAATATCTCTCTCTGTTCTTCAAATATTTTGTCCTGAGTAAAACAAACAAATAAGTACTTATACGTATATTATAATATACGAGGTCTGTCCGGAAAGTTCGTATAAAAGTGTTCTGGAATGCGAGAAAGAGGAGTGGGGAGGCCAGGTAAGCGCAGGACCCCTTCCTTATGTCCCTAACAATGCTTCAGTTCTGGTCTGACCGCCGTGCGGTGCGAACTGGCTTGTCACGCCATCTGTGAAGTTACCTCTTAACGAAACCCCGTCGGCATGGAGCCCGCTTCCGTTGAAGAGCAGCGCGTCGTAATCAAGTTTCTCTCGAAACTCGGCAAGAATGGCCGTGAAAGCAAAGAGTGGAAGACATCCGGGGAACCACGAACAAAAAAATCAAGAAAATCCCGCTCAAATGTCAAGACAATGTTGATTGTTTTTTTCGATGTTCGGGGGATTGTCCATCAAGAATTCGTCCCTCCAGGCCAGACAGTTGATGGAAAATTCTACGTCGATGTGCTCAGACGCCTCAAAGCTCGTGTGGCACGAGTTCGTCCAGAATTGGCGCGAGAGGGGCGTTGGATTCTTCACCACGACAATGCCCCTGCCCACACCTCTCTTGTTGTCCGTGAGTTTTTGAGTAAAAATTCCATTACGGTGACCGAACACCCCCTATTCGCCGGATTTGGCCCCGTGTGACTTCTTCTTGTTCCCAAAAACCAAATTGGTACTTCGGGGGCGGCATTTGGGGGACATAAATGAGATAAAAAAAGCTACGACGGGGCAGCTGAGAAACCTACAACCAGAGGACTTTCAAGGAGCCTTCTCACAGTGGAAACGGCGTTGGCACAAGTGCATTATGTCACAGGGGGAGTACTTTGAAGGGGATAAAATTGATTTACCTGAATAATTGTAAAATAAAATTTTTAAAAAACTTTTATACGTACTTTCCGGACAAACCTCGTATATTCATAATTAATAAGTATCACGCAATCACACTAATTGCCTGGTCCTCTAGCTGTGATACTTTGTGTTATGAGGAACCAAGCAACAAACATCTGGGGCACAACTAAGAATACCCAGATCCGATCCAGTTAAAACAAGTTCGTTTCCTAAACGGGCCAGACCAGAAAATCGAACCTAGGATCTCATTTACGTAATACAAAATAACCACCGTTGGCCTACGTTGGTCATCGTCTTATTTGTAGAAATCTAAAGGTGAAATTAAAATAATTGGAAGTATTCTATCAATAGAAGAAACAACTTTCCACAAAGAAACATTCACAAATTTTAAGCCTCCCATACTACTTGTGTGAGTAAAACGGTACAGTCTGTCATTTTTCATATATCTATGAAGAAATTAACAGCTTCTTTGGAAAAATAATCTTAAGAAGGATATTAATCATATTAATTTCACCTCGTATTTATCAGTTTTAATTAAATTATAAAATACGAATATATTATGAACATGGGTAAATGGATAATACAATTATTAGATAATTCAATTATTTTAAGTTAATTTACCTGTATATGTTTATTATTTGCTAACAAAAGTAAGCAAAAGGTCAATCCAGATGCAGTAGTATCATGACCCTGTAAATAAAACAAAAATTTAGTACCTATAAGTACTAGAGATAGAGTCAACGATAATATGTTAAAAGTACCTTGATATCAAGCTAAAGTAATAAATAATAATAGAAACACTTAATAAAATATCTGTGCCAGAGTCGACTCCAGACAACAGAACAAAGGGTAAACGAAAAAAAGATTTTAATAGCTTATATAATGTTTCAAGACTGAGTTATTTAAATTGTATCATCCATGATCAGTATAAGAAATCAAATTAAGATCATAAAATATTATCAAACGAAAACTACTGAATTGATTTTATATAGCCTAAAAATAGTATAAGAAGTTCTAAAACCTTAGTAACAAAATTATACTGATTTTATTTATTTTTTTATTACCTCCTGGCGCTCTAACAATTCTTCCAATAATCATAAATATATTTGCATACACATATTTGGTATCAAGAAGGTTTTTATTTATTTCAGTCAACCAATATATCATGATAACGCAGACAAAGTCACAGGCAGAGCTAGTAAATGAAAATTAACTTACTTTGAACATAAAAGTGTCGACTTCTTCCTGTATACCAGTATCATTAATGAGTCCATCTTTATGTGCCATAATCAAAAGATCTAACATGGCTGTCTTTCTCTGTTTTTTATTTATATATATCTCATCCTCTGCAATACTGTTTTCGATTCCATTAACTTCAATATATTCCTTTCTATCTTTTATAACTCGTTCAGTAAAACTATGTACTTTTTTTATATTTTTATTTTGCCTCTTGCCTGTACTAGACAAATTGAACATGAAATCTGTATGATAATAAATTTTGGTAACTCGCTCCACAAATAGTTTGCCTAATTCGTAGATCGAAGCTTTGTATGATTTTGCAACAGCATTCGCTTCATTTGACAGTTGGGTGCCCATTGCAGTTTCTAAAATTCAGAAACAAAATCAAACCTTAAAATAAGAGTAAGATTTTAATTTCCTATAATCCCTAAGTTTATTTAACAGTAGAAAATAAAGTAATAGACCATATGACGAAAAATATTAACTGTCGCCTAGACTTAAACATTACGGATATAGGACATATGGGCAGCTCGTGACACCTCTCATGCAATGGCAGTTTTGGGGGTTAATGTTCATGTCACGTATCAGAATTTTCACTAGTTTGAATAAACCTACACGCATAGATTGTTTTTATAGTAGAAATAAAACTGTAACTAAAAGATGTATAGATAACAGTGTGTAGATGGAGGTATCAGTTCTGTCGAGAAATGTTTGACTGTCCACAAGGGATCCTAAAATCGAATCCCGGCTTAAACATTTGATTGTTTCGAATTCATATATGTATTATTTGAATATTATTGTCATTTGCGTTGTCCTTTAGAGGGTAAGAAATGTCGTCATCCGATAAGCCACGTAGAGGTAAAGGCCTTCATATAAAATGCAAAAGCAGAAATTTGATAAGATAACACGCCGCCCTCTCAACAATGTAGTAGTATAGAACAATTTGTAGGTGGTTTCAATGTTTACAATATGTCCACTATATACCTACCGCATATAGAGTTGAGGGTGAACTCAGATAGAACAGGTACGATATCTACAGCTTTTCCTTCCGAACTGCTCAAAGTTTCAATGAGACGAACGCTGTTCTCTTCCAATATTATGAAAAAATCCCGTAAGATATTGAAATGGAAGGTAGGTGTGAGAATTTTTCTCCTTTGAAACCATTTCGATCCTGAAAATAGGCATTTTATTATTTTACTTTTTCTTATATAATTTGTATTACTTTTGAAAATGTTGAATATTACGATAATTTTTAAAAACTTTACAAGATATGAGGTAATTTTTTTGTTAGGCCTAAAATGATAAAAAAACTATCGGCCCGCGGGATGGAAAGAAATAACCATTGCCTTAAACATGAACAACATTATGGACGTTACAAGCTGTACTATCACCTATGGTAAACGTTATAAGTGCCTATTCCTGAGGTCTATAATTTTATGTCTCCGTCTCTGTGATTTCAGTACCATAATATTTACTAATAACATAGTAAGGGATAAAGTTGATTTTTCTAAAAATGTGAATTTACTGTTTACCGTTTCATTACTTGTATCTACCCTAATGGGAGACAAACATGACAGTCATACATGTGTGTATGAGATTAAGTATATCTACGTAGACAATTATTATGTAGTTGATTGTAACATTTAATTTTATATAGACAAAACACATTACATTTTAAATTCCGATAAACTTACATAAGACCATTAAAATAGGTAAACATTGTATGTTCATTTGATAACATGAGACGTCCAGTCAAATTATACTTATACCTAATTAAAATTGGCTAGTTAATTGCTAATTAGAATTTGCATCAATTTAAATATAGCTACAAGTACGATAGGTCAGTTGGCCGGTATCGACTTTGCTAAGAACACAAATTTTGTAATGACTTTCTGACTGGAATCACTTAATAGATAATATAGACTTTGTTCAGAACACAATTCGTAATGAACTTTGATCAGCAATACCGACACAGCAAATCATATTTATCTACCGATCTAGCTCAGAGGTAGAGCGGATATATAGCTCAATGATTAAGCACATTACGTTCAAATTCAACAACAGGGCATTGTTATTTATTATTATTATAAACCTGAATAGCTTGCTAATAATCGATCATGTGCAAAATTTGCTCAAGGCGGCATAGCTAACTTTGCACATTTTAAGGTAACTCGATACACTTTCATCCTCTTTAAATAATGTATAAGAAAAATCTAAAATGGTATACAATAAACAATAACGTGAGTGTTTATAACGATGATCGAATATAAAAAATATTCTTATACAAAGAGTTTTAAATTGGATAATTTACTGTTAATAAAAGATTGGAAGCTAGTTAGATACTTACTTATTTATACTTTCTTGTTTAACAAGTTTTAGATAATATTTACATCACCGTCTATTTACAGAGCGTGTTCGGCACACTAGATACCTATATTATTTGGATTATTTAATGAGAATAATAATTCTCATTTAGTTGTAGCGTATTCATATAAATTCCCTTTTTAATAACATTTTAACGCTTTATTTTAGATTTTACTTCAGCCATGAGGCTACTATATATTTACTGACCAGGATAAAAAGTAGCGTATATCCTTCTCCGTCCCATACAGTAAGTGTATACTAAATTTCATAGTAATTGGTTAAGCCGTTAAGATGCTATGAGGTAACAAACAAACTCGCTTCCATATTTTTATTATTAGTAAGGACGTATCATAACAATAATTTTCAACTGTACCAGTTAGGGGGGGGGCGATTGTTAGTAATAATACTGCCTATTGCTAGCAATATACCCTGGCAGGTCAACCTCCACGTGGTCCCCCCTGGAAACCATCGTGCTGAATTCCAGGTGTATTTATCGCAATAGGCTAACTGACCTGCTGTTTTATTTTCACTTATTACCCCTCACTGATCCCCGCCAGTGTATACCGATAGCGCAGGCGGGGCACAATTCCATTGTCATCCATAAAAAAAACTGTACCAGATATATTTATATCAATAAATTAACATACCATTACTCAAAAGCAATCCTTCTTGTAACCATGGCCTTAAAAATCTGTACAGAGTACTTTTCTCATTGTGTTTTGTTGTAGAAATGACCGCCTGTAATTAAATTATAAAGAAAGTTATATTAAATATACTTTTTCAAATACTACAAACAAAGATAATCACTCTCAGATACAAAACAAAAAATTATATGCATTAACATTAAAATATGACCCGCATATTAATCATCGTATATTAATTCTAATACGGGAGTGTCCTTTAATTATGTACGCTTAAAAGGGGGGGAAAACTAAGATTAAAAATGTCCATTATTTTTGCTAGATGTTTATAAGTAGAAGCAATTAAGCTCTCTAGATGGGGAATAAATGTTATTTAAACTGAACAGACTTTGCCTTTCACTGAAAATATCAAGTCAAATATTTGTCCTTCTCACATTTCACAGAAAAAAGCTTGGGTACTTAGATGGATAAGTCAAAATATTTCAACATAAACATAAAATTTAGTAAAAACATCTTCTCATTCAGGATATTTACCTCGGAGATTTTAAGCAAAATCCCAACTAAAAAGTGCATGTCACGTAATTATTGGTCGTCTCTTATAAAGTCTAGTGTCGTTAAGATCAAGATAATTTTATATATTGCTAAACATACCAGATACATAACATACATAATTTACCAGAGGGAGACTTTGTACAAAAGTCGATTGCTTGGGCACCTCTGTCCCATTCGTGTTTCTACCGTAAAGCAGTTGTGTTTGCATGGCTGTGTTTCGGTTTGAAGGGTGGGATATGGCGTGAAATTACAGGGTACGGAGGAATAATACCTGAGTCCTCAGGAATGGCAACGTATTAGGGGTATCATGGGCGAAACAGTGTACTCTGTTATGTCCATGGTACTGCTCATGTCAATAGGCGACGGTTACCACTTTCCGTCAGGTGGACCGTCAGCTTGTTTGCCATTCGAATTTGTATAAAAAAAAAAATATAAAGTATTCAGCTTGAAAGAAGAAGTTCCTATAAATCGTAAATTAGAATTTCATATTTTGTATTTGAGAAGTTTTGCTTGGCTACGCGTTGATCTCTAAGTCAGATTTTAGATATCAACTATCAACTGACTTACAAATATATATGTACATATATTACAAATATACTAGTATAGAGTAAATAGATAGATCACTTACATTTCCAAGATCAATTATGTACCACCATAACAATAGGTAAACGGAGAGTTATGAATAATCTGCGATTGATTGATTGACATTAAGATAGACGTACAGGGAAAAATATAAATAATAAAAGTTTTAGACATATTACCAAATGCCTACGGCTTCATTTGCAGCCATAAAATTGATTTAGGTTGGTACATCCTGTCTACAAACACATGTTCTAACAAATATATATATATATATATATATATATATATATATATATATATATATATATATATATATATATATATATATATATATATATTAAGTGATAAACAATGCTTATTGTTTTATTTATCACACCAAACACACAAACATACTAACAGACCAATGTAGATAACAAAGATAATGAAAACCAGCTGGAAATCAGTGGCTGTCACTGAAACTAACCAGAGGGAGACTTTGTACAAAAGTCGATTGCTTGGGTACCTCTGTCCCATTCGTGTTTCAACCGTGAAGCAGTTGTGTTTGCATGGCTGTGTTTCGGTTTGAAGGGTGGGATATGGCGTGAATTTACTGGGTACAGAGGAATAACACCTGAGTCCTCAGGAATGGCAACGCATGGGAGGGTATCATGGGCGAAACAGTATACTCTGTTATGTCCATGGTACTGCTCATGTCTATAGACGACGGTTACCACTTTCCATCAGGTGGGCCGTCAGCTTGTTTGCCATTCTAAGTTGTATAATAAAAAAAATTATTTTCTTATAATTTTTTCAATTTTAATATTAATTATTTACTTTCTTTATGCTTTTTTAAACTAATATACAAAACATTATTTCCTTATATGTATCTTATCTTTATTTTAAAGTATGGTGTTCGTTGTAGTAGGTATATTCTATAATATTCATAATAATGACTATAGTCCGAGTTGTTCATTTAATGTTCCATTATCTATTCCCCGTTGACGGCGAATATTCGTTCTCTCTGCTTACCCCATATTTACCCATAAGTGAAAATATATATACATACTTAAACCATTTGGTTACAAACCTCGATATCTTCTGGATTGTAAATATTAACAGCACCGCGAGGAAAAGCCCAAAATCGGTAAATTCCATTCCATCGCGCTGCATCACTTCTTGCTAATTTAAATAATTCCACTGAAATTAATAAAAATAAATATATATTTTCTTTGTATATATGCATCGATACATATGTACCGTACTCAGACCTACTACAAATAAATACCTCAACCTACCTCAACTTATAAAACCTTTATATGACAATATTATCCTTGTTTGAATGTCAATATTTACCGCTAAGATAAGTATTTGCCTTGATGTTACAAAAAATCTTTATTGATAGAAAATTCCCTTTTATGTTCAATCTTTTCAATAATATTATAGATTTGTAAATTTTTTTATGAATTCTTCAATCTTTATCGACATTAATTTTGTGTACTTGCTAACTCAGACTTGATTTTTAGTAAAAGGTTTTTACGTTTATCAAAATCTATATGTCCTATACATATAATTCCGGTAACGAGTTTAAAAGTCACAATACAGCTACTATTTTTTGTGTAAACATCGTCAATAGTCATTAAAAACCATCTGCAAAAACTTACAATTTGCTAACAACAACAGTTTACTACAATTGTAAATATTTAGCAGGGTGTAAAGATCTCTAAAACAATTTGCGAGAATTTGTGTAATGGTTATTTTGTATAAAGAAATAGTAAGTAACATACTTTATAATTTAGAAACTGCCTCAACAACAAAATTAAAATTCAGAAATTATTTATACACTTAATCAACGATTTTGAACAAATTTAAAAAAAAATTACCTACAAAGATAAAGATGTACTCGTATCTTGTTATGAGTACTAAAAGCTAAATGTCAGTTTAGATTTTAGTTTAGACTAAAAAGTATAGACGAACATATTAGATAAGTCAGTAATTCATATAAGAGTAAGTAGTATTAAGTAGAAATGAAAATAGCACAAATTAAGACCCAAAAACAACACAAACACTAATAATTGAAAAATAATTCTCCTTTACATTTTACATTGGATCTATAATCGTTTATTGACAATAAGTTTTAAATTGTTTATAAAACACCTACTCACCTGGCGAAAGCATTACACGTAAAGCATTCCCAAAAATAAATACATTTTTCCCTCCTGGTATCTTTTTTAAAGACCTCGCTCTAGAATTTTGATTTATTACCAATTCCAAAACGAACAATAATAGTATAATTGTGCAAAAAATATACAGCAACATGACGAGAAGTTTATCAACACAAACGTACTAGTTGCTCTCCAAATAGACACTGACGAAACCTGTTTATTAAAGCGTGATTTTTTTTTGTTTAAGAACCGAATGTAGACTCATTAGATACATATGTATAATGTAATTACTATATTTACATATATATCTACATCAGATGATATCAATATAGTCGTTTTTATTGTGCAATAAAATTATATAAATTTTCATTCATCACTATATATGATATATATATATATATATATATATATATATATATATATAAAGTACTGTATACTCGTACATTACTTTAGTTTGATCATCAATCAATTTGATCATCATCATTATCATGTCAACCCACTAAATGAGCATTTGCATTGTAGTTACGCTTTGGTGATGTTTAAAGAGGGACGCTGCTGCCCATATCTACGACACCCATGAGAAAAAAGGGATGACCTATTCTATGCCAGCTATTCTATTCTTATCTTAGTTTAATTATGTTAATTTGCTAATCAGGATATGTTTTTTAAAGTGATTGTACTAAATACAAAACTGATAAACATCAATGGAAATCTATCCTAGTTAATACATTACCATAGTGTAGTAATGTGGGCTAGCAACTGTATTGCTAGCAATATAACTTATCGAGTTGACCTAATAGAACTCATCGTGGTTATTTCCTGATAAAGTCATCTCAGTGAGCTAACTGACTTTACTTGATTTATTTAACATATCTTGGTATCTTACTGGAACTTAGATGTATATTTACTTATATACTTAATATAAAAAGGTAATTGCATAACATTAAATAAAAAATATTAAAAATTTAGTTAAAATAATTATATTTTGTATTTTATTTATACAAACATTTTTAAAATCACACTGACTTTATTACATCTATATAAATAACTTTCTTCTTTAATAAACAATATGGAAATAATTAATTCATTATGAAACTAAAGCCAAATTCGGCAAATTTAACACCTAAACTATAGTAAAATCGCTGTACAGGTTGGATTCGAAATCATGAACATCCTTTTAAGGGAGTCTTTTACTAATGAAACTAAATGATATTTCCAAAGAAACATGTATTGATAAACGACAAAATTTTGAACCTTCCATACATAGCAGCGTCCAGTTGTTGTGTTATGTTGTATGGGAGGTTTAAAATGGTTGTTGGTTTAAAATTTATGATTTACGAAATGTGCATACAATTAGATTTTTTTTTTCTATACAATTTAGAATGGCAAATAAGCTGATAGAAGCATTGATAAAAAGTAATAACCGTCGCCTATAAACATGAACAATACCGTGGACATGACAGAATATACTGTGTCGCCCATAATAGCCTTTATGCGTTGCCATTCCTAAAAACTAAGATGTTATGCCTCCTGTACCTTCCTGTACCCTGTAATTTCATTTTATTTCCCAACATTAATTTTCAAAATCAGTAACTTTATATTAGTCCAAAACAATGCTCATATAAAAAAATTAACATTTCGACATTCGCCATCTTTTTTTTTACAAAACCCAAAAACTTTTTTTGTTGCTTTTATAATAGAAAGTCGCCTTAAGGCGCATGAGCAATACCATGGGCATTGATATCTCTCATGCACAGTCTCAAGCATTGTCATTCTTGAGAACAGAGGTGTTATGCCTCTGTACCTGTACTTTTTTTAATGGATGATAATGGAATGGTAACCCCACCCGCGCTATCAGTATACACCGACGGGGCACCAGTGAAGGATGATTGGAGAATATGGAGCAGGTGAGTTAGCCCATCATGACAAATTCAACAAGAGTTGTTCACGATGATTTCCAGGGGGAATCACGTGGAGGTCGACCTGATAGGGTATATTGCTAGCAATGGGGCTGTCAAACTCCATTGCTAACAATCCCTTTCTCCCTCTGTACCTGTACTGTAATTTCATTGGTGTGCCCGGCATAGAATGGGCCACCCCTTCCTTTCTCGTGGGTGTCGTAAGAAGCGACTAAAGGATGGCAAGGAATGGGCAGCAATGTTCCTCTTTAAACATCTAAAAGCCTATCTAAGCCTGCGGTTGACAACCCGCCTGCCAAGCATGGTAACTACTGCAAAACTCCCCTAATGAGGAAGGCTTATGTTCAGCAATGGACAGTTAACGGCTGAAATATTAAATCCAATTTTACAAAACCGTAACATAGCCATGTAAACATAGCTGCTTCACGGTAGAAACACGAATGAGACAAAACTACTCAAAGAGACGACTTTTGTGCAAAGTTTCCTTTAGTGAAACTACTACTTTGACAACTATTTCAATTTCAATTTATTTATTCACTATAATAATATTCGCAACTATTGGAGTTACACCGCTACAACACTAACATTATGTAATGGTGTAACATACTACCTTACCTTCAAATGGGTGAAAATTCGGTCACAGACGATAAATAGATGCCATCTCATATATATGGTCATATGTCAGTCTCTAGATACTCGAATACAGCATGATAATCTTTGCCCTAAAAGCTATGATCGCTTACTACTTTAGAATGTATTGTTTTGTTGTGTTTTGTTATCATCTCACACCTATCATTATTCACTGGTGCCCTGCTAGTGTATACATCGGTATAGCACAGGCAGGGTCATTTTCATATCATTCATCATATTTCATTTTCACCAATGAAAACAGAACACAATTGTACCTTGAACATCACTATTAATATCTATTGAATACATTATATTACGTGTAAGTTATTTAATTTAATAGACAATACGAATAGTTTTGTTTCTTTATTTATTTATTGCATGTCATATAGATAACATAAACCCAGTTATGGCGTTGCAAATATTGGCAGGTACATTATATTTATACAATTATAAACATTTAAAAATTTCTATTAAGTATTACATATTTCATACATTTTATTATATAAATTTTCAGTACTCGCGTTTTAGTTCTAGAATTCACTTTTGTTATAATAAAAAAATATTAAAATTTATAAATAATAATAAGTTTGTTTCAAAATAAATATTACAAACATTTTTAAATATAGGTGAAACCCTGCTCCCTAAATAGATAAGGGAGCGAGAGGGAGACTTTGTACAAAAGTCGATTGCTTGGATACCTCTGTCCTATTCGTGTTTCAACCGTAAAGCAGTAGTGTTTGCATGACTGTGTTTCGGTTTGAAGGGTGGGATATGGCGTGAATTTACAGGGTACAGAGGAATGACACTTGAGTCCTCAGGACGGGCAACGCATGGGGGGTATCATGGGCGAAACTGTATACTCTGTTATGTCCATGGTACTGCTCATGTCTATAGGCGACCACTTTCCATCAGGTGAGCCGTCAGCTTGTTTGCCATTACATGTTGTATAAAAAAAAGTAAATCCTGATAAATGAGGATTATAAAATGGTGTTACATTATTCAATTTATTTCTATTACTAGTTGGGTTCTCATAAATGATTTATTTTATTTTATTTATAGAATATTTAAATATACTTTACAAAGTTATTTACAAAGTTATGTAGAGCCTCACTTGCAGGAAGCTAAAAATTAATAACGAATTAATTTCCAATCTTAAATCTTAACTAGAAAAATGTACTAGGTACTTACATAATATCACTTTAAAAATTTCAAGAAATTCTCATTAGATTCTTTCATCTTAAAAAAATAACATTAAAAATTTCTCAAGCCACTGTGGTTACTGACACGCCAACGATAGACAATTAAAAATACATATATGCTCACACGTATAATCTCTAAAGACATAGTCAGAAATAACTACATGCTGTTGCTGTTATGGTAAATTTATAACAATCTCAATTTGGCTTTTCGTAGAATATATTACGAGTAGAATCCAAAATGGTGAAGGCCGAGCCTACCGTCTTTATAATTTTAATAAGATGCCCATTTTTTTAAATTACGATCTATTATTATTATCTCTCTTTACAATTTTAACATAAATTGGGGCCAAATTTCTTAAAACTATATCACTTTTTAACTGTAGCTCGGAAGGAGTCGTCACTGGGATGAACTCGTAGTGACGTAGCAGAGCAGAAATAGAAGATTTCAATTCCATCATAGCGAATCTTTGACCTAAAACAAAAATGTATTTACCTCTACAAGTAATTGATACCAAGTAAAATTCTAATAGTATTTGTTTGTTTGTTATAAGGTTTTATGTATAATTATAAATAAAACAAAAAATAAGTTAAAAAGAAAAGAAAACAAGATGACAAAGTACATAGGCGGTCTTATTCTATAAAGAGATTTCTTTTAGTCAGCCTTGAGAACTCGAAAAGAGAAATTATCTATACAGTTTGTATGCAAAGTATGTTTATAACATATTCGTATACAGTGCATAGATAACATCACGAGTGTAATAAATAATACACTATAATCTTTGATTATAATTGATAACTATAAATAATCACTGAATATGTATACAAAATTTGAAAATAAATATATATAATCTCGACCATCAAGTGACTGGTAAATTATTTTTGATGTATTTATTTACACTTTATTGCACCATTTAAGAAATAATCAATACAGTTAATTTTAATGAGAAGTTATAAAAAGATGGCCTTATTACTAAACAAATTCTTCCAGACAATCTTTGGGTAGAGGACATTGAGAAAAAAGACAAAGGGTAGATGGCGCATATATATATACTAATATATACAAACATATACAAACATATATACATCCATATAAACAAATTTATACATAAACATACACATATATTGATAGCATGCATACACCAGAAGAGAATGAAAGTGGAAGATGAAGAAAGAATACGGAAAAACTTATAAGTACTTTACCCATTTTTACGCTATTTTTTTTACATGATTTATAGAGAACTGAGTGCTAAAGACCTTACCTATTTCTCGTACTCAATCATTCCAGTTTTATTATATGGATTTTTTGTTCTTTTGTTACTGACCCACACATTATGATAATTTTAAGAACCTTTCTTCTCGCAAAAGTATTTATTAGAATAATTAAACTAACTTACCTATACAATTTCTAGGGCCTGCACTAAATGGTATGTACGCGTAGGGATGACGCCCTATGCAGTTGTCAGGTAGAAAACGGTCAGGGTTGAACTCTAATGGATTCGGGAACAAATCTGCGCGTCGATGCAAGTCGTAAATATGGATATGACACATTACTCCCGCTGGAACTGTGTAGTTACCTAAAAATACCATACACTAAGTTATCCCTATATACATATTTTAGGCGTATAAAAATTTGCTTGGTACTTGCTTCAGAAAGAGAATAGAGTTTTCAGCTACACACGAAGAACATAGGTATTCGAGAATACATATGTCCTTTTTTAAGGGTACAGGTCCGATCTGGATAATAATCTTAAATATTTCAATGGTACCTTGGTGGCACCGGAATAGCCCATTGTTTTTGGGAAGGCCACTTTGAGCAGTGAACAATAAATAACTGAAGTAATGCTAATTATAATCATTTAGGCACTACTTTATTTTTAATACACGATGGATGTCACAAAATACCTACAGAATCTTTTATATTTTTCATGTGTAGTAATATTGACCGTGCAGTACATACTATTAAAAATAATAATAGGACAAAAAAGATCATATCTGTCATGTATGTCGTATAAATCATTTTTATAACTTAAGCTGTTACCCGCTGTTTGTCCTCGAGAATTAAAAGCACCAAATTATATTCAAAATCTGTTTAGTTAGCAGTAGGAAAGAAAGATTGATTAGCAATTTACCAGAAGGAATTCTTGTTCAAAAGTTGTTTTCACTCATATTTCTGTCACAAAGCAGTTTTTACTGCTGTATTTCGGTTTAAAAGGTAGTAATAAGGCAGTGACATTACAGGGTATAGAAGTATAACACCTTAGACTTTTGGAACGGCAACATATGAGTGTCATAGTATATCCGTGATGTTGGCCGACTGTATATACAACGGTAGGAACACTATTTATCAATAGAATAGAATTTCCGCTTGCTTGCCACTGCATAAAAAAAGCAAAGGTGCATATAATACTCCATATATACAAACTTTTACGTTTGTAATAAAAAATAATATAGGTGTATATTATAATTTTTATTAATTAATACTCACTTAATTGAACGTTTTCATTCAGTTGACGGCTAATAAAATGAACAGGGGGATATAATCGAAGTGACTCTTTAATGCAGCACTCCAAATATCTCAATTTCGATAAATCGTCTATATCAGCTGACCGCGGTGACTCGCCAAATACATCTTTTATCTCTTTGTATATTTTATCCTGTAATAATTATAACCCTTAATATTATTATAAATATTAAAGTAAGTTTATTTGTTTGTTGCTTTATAGCTTTATTACTTTAATTTTTATTTATAATTAAATACGTGTCTACTAAATTTATATGAAACCAAGAAAGATATAGGCTATTTTTTATCCAGTAATCAAACAACCTACTACCTATATTATATAAACGAAATCATTGGATCTTCTATACGCATAATTTTCCAAATATTATTGTGCATGTAAAAACATATTTCAGAAACTGAAGAATAAGAAAAAGACCAATGTAACAGCTGCCTTTATAAGCATAGCAATCTGCTAGTCTTTATTCATTAGTGGATAAAGTTCTCTACAAATTATTATATTACGCTACGTCACACGCGTGAATTTCTAAAGTAAAAAATAATAATGAAATAGACTACTTATAAATGAGATTTTAAATTAAAACTCCAGAAATACAAATCGCATCTAATTTGTTGCAGTACTTTTTGGGTGAAGCCGAAACAAACATACAGAGAGACAAAATTTCTAAAGATTATTGTTTTAACATCAATGGGCCTTATTAATATTAGTTGTTTATATATATCTCCCATGTACAGACATAGTCTAGTTACAATTTTATTATATTAGTAAGATTAAACACCTATCAGATCCATATTTTTCTAATAATAAAACTATCCTATCTCTCAAATTAGCGCAAACAATACATATACAAAATTTCATTAAAATCGGTTCTGTAGTTTCAAAGATTAGCGTGAACGAACCTCGTAACGTGGAAATTTTATATATTTTTTCTTTATACAACTTAAAATGGCAAACAAGCTGACGGCCCACCTGATGGAAAGTGGTAACCGTCGCCTATAGACATGAGCAGTACCGTGGACATAACAGAGTATACTCTTTCGCCCATGATACCCCCCATGCGTTGCCATTCCTGAGGACTCAGGTGTTATTCCTCTGTACCCAGTAAATTCACGCCATTATATATTAAACTATGAAGATTACATGCAATGAAAAAAATATTTATTGTGCTTTTATTATCTGTACGAGTATGATTGAATACTTAATATATAAATATTACATACCTGTATTGTTGGATTGTTTGCAAGTATCATTACGAAAAATGTTAATGCAGAAGCAGTCGTATCATGGCCCTGTTTACAATTATTTATTATTATAAGATGACAAAGAACAATAACATTTACAAAACATAAAAATATCCTTATATATATTTTTTTTTTATAATATGTATGTACAAATAAAACATTATTATAATAGTTCTAAATGAGCGCTTTTTTACGATATTCAAGAATGGCATACTGAATACCCACCTGGTAAAAGGTGGTAATAGTCGCTTATATACATAAACAGCAAACAATATACTGGAATATGATACTCAGAGTTACCATGGTAACACTCACGCGAAAATCTTAACTAGCCGGGTAATTATATTTCATAAAACAATAATAAAAAAATAAAAATTGTTTTTTTCTAAATAAGTTTTACATGTTATAAACACAAAAATAAATAGAAAAAAACAGTAGGTACTCTGTCTTCACTTACTTCAAACATAAATGTATCCACTTCCTCTTGGATTCCGGCATCATCAATCAGACCATCTTTCTTTGCTAGTATAAGTAAATCTAACATAGCTCGTTTCTTTCTCTTCTTATTCAGAAACACGTCGTCTTCAGAAACAATATCATTAAAAGCATTAGTTTCAATTGCATTTTTATTTAAATATTCTTCTCTCTCTCTTATTATTTCTGCAGTGAAATTGTGAATGACGTTCAAATATTTTCTTTGTTTGCTTCTAAAGGGAGTCAAATTAAATATGAATTCTATATAAAGTGGTAAGGATGCAAATCTTTTAGAGAGTATATGGCCAATATCATGTATCGCATCTTTGTAACTTTTTCCTTTTGAAGCTGATACATCATTTAATTGTGTTCCCATTGCAGTCTCTGTAAATATTATGTGGTTGAAAAAGTGACAATATTTATTAGATACTTTACCAGAGATCAGCGTACAAAAGTCGTTTACTTGGATACCTCCGTCCCACAAGTGTTTCGTCATGAAACAATGGGGCTTACATGGTTAAGTTTTGATTTAAAGGATGAAATATGGCAGTGAGAATGCAAAATGCCCAGGTATAACAAAATAGTCCTCAAGAATAACACCAAACTAATATTACTCTAAACATCTAGATTTATTTTATAAGTACTTATTAATTTTTAGTACTTTATATTTTTCTGTCTTTTACACGTGCCTTAATTTTTCCTTTCAATCGTTTGTAGTTCGTAAATTATAAATCATCATCATCGTATTAGCATTTACTTGTCCACTGCTGAAAATAACTCTTCTAACCTAAAGGGGGTTTTGCCAGTAGTTGCCATGCTTGGCAGGCAGATTGGCAACCGCAAATAGGCTTTGGAAATATTTTAAGAGAGCCGCTGCTGCCCTCTCTCGCCCTACTTTAGTTACCTCTTATGACACCCACGGGAAAGGAAGCAGTGACCTATTCTATACCGGGATCACACGGCAATAATATACTTTCCCGTTTATAACAGTGGTAGAATATATTGAAACCTCATACCGCATATGGTGGAGAGAGTGTATTCTGAGACTATTGGAAAGATATCCACCACCTGGCCCGTGACGTTCGCAACAGAAGCGACCAATTGTTGGCTGTTCTTCTCTATCGTAACGTAAAAATCACGTAGAATGTTGAAATGGAAAGCTGGCGTCAGGATTTTTCTACGCTGGTGCCATTTATTGCCTATAAAAATAAATAAATAATTAATAATCGTTCAGCGATTAGCTGTTTTCTTAAGTATTTTAAACGATACTTTAAAATAAAATTTTCTCTACTAGGTACTTATAGTAGAATAAATTTTACATACGTTACATTACGTGCATAGGTAGGATAAAGAAGTATAATAAAAATAATGTAAATAATAATATAATTGCTAAGAAATTAACGCTCAAACCTCACTGAACTGTTCTTAATCAAATTAACAGTAAATGCACATACGAAGAGATCCTATTACATATATTTTTTTTATTCATTGAAAAAAAAAATATGCTTTTTCAATTTGTACAATTATGAGTAATTTGAAACCAAGTCTGGCATCTTAGGAATTTGGTAAATGTTTATAATTATTGTTATGGATCTATAGGAGACCTCACATAGTTTTACTATTTTACCCAGAAAAGCGAAAAAGTTACTAGACTCAGCTTTAAATTTTAACACAGATTAAGAAAGAAGACTTACCACAGAATAACACTTATAGTATATCTCCTTTACATTAAATTACGATCAATATAAAACTATTATCAATATAAAGATAAATTTTTGTGAAAATAAGTAACGCCGAGAAACCTACCATTACTTACAAGTAATCCCTCCTTCAACCAGTCCTTTAAAAACGAGTAAACTATGCTCTTGTCATTGTATCTCGTTGTTGACATTATTGTCTGGAAACAACTTTAATATATTATATATGAAACATTGCTTACGATTAGATTACATTTTCATTAATAGTTTTAAAAAATAAAACCAAAAAAATATGAGTTAACTTGCTAAGACTTTCATAAAAATAATCATAATAATAATCCAGAAACAGGTTTTTATTTTTTTTACAAAACAATTAATTTGAAATATATATAAGATATATATATATATATATAAATAAAAATTTGTTTTGAAATATGCAAAGGAAACCCTTTTATACAATAGCCCTCTTAGAGTTCTTTAGAACTAAACTCATTTCAACATTTTGTGCTCCCCTTTTCGAACCATTTGCAAAGAAAATAAAAAGAAAAGAAAACAACAAAAATTTTGAATTTTTTTATTCAGATTGGTTTTTTTTTTACTTCTAACTGATGTAAAAAATTGAAAAATTATTCAAAAATAAACACTCAATAGGATTACTCTGAGAAATCTAGTAACTATTTAAATCAGATTGGTTTTTCGTTTTCAGATGAGTTTTTAGTGGTGAGTTATGAGTAGCACCGCAATGACACTTTTTTTCGACATCTGCAGAGATTCACTCTGAATATAATTGTTCGTTTTTTGTTACTTATTAAAAAAATTTTCGAAGGATAATCTATAAGTGTTACTTTATCATGTAGTAATTATAGAAGTAAATATATATTAACTATGTTGTAGGAAAAAAATACAAAAATGCGCTTTCCTGTAAGAAAGTAAGCTCCCCTCCCCTCCATAAAGCCTCTATAAATGCATAACTTGGAACCAAATATAGCAATAAAAAACTGCTTAGTGAATATAGACAGAAATTCAAATGTTTTTATTTAGATACTTTTTTGTGATTTTCCTTTAAAATTTGAATCTATAGTTATAATATATCTATAGTATAGCAAATGATCCTTAATAAAAATTATATATGCATATATAACAATATACAAAAAAAAATGCATTGAATGTACCTCAATATCATCAGGATTATAAATATTTATTGCTCCGAATGGAAATGCCCAAAAACGGTAGATTCCGTCCCATATTTTGGCGTACTTTCTTGGTAGTTTAAATAATTCAACTGTGAACAAAACAAGAATTTTATTATTAGTTGTAACAGAAGTTATTGTAATTTTTTAAGAAAGCATTTTACTATATATGGTAAAATCCTCTGAAGGTAGTGTTCTACCAGCGGAATTAAACATTTTTATTAGAGAAACATTAGTCAACAAATATAAAAAAAAAATTGGAAGTAACATTTAACAGTTAACAGTACATTCAACTGTTGTATTAGTACAGGAAATTCAACTTATTTCTTTTTATTAAAAAAATGTCTATCCATATATAAACTAATATATTAATTCTTAATTATGCTAAACCGAACTACTGAACACAAGAATCTTTTTAAATTTACTCAATCATGTATCGAAAACAACGTCTCATTTACGCAAAACACCCATCATGCCATGTTATGTTTATTCTTTATACTATCTTTAAAACCATCACAATTTTAAAGATAACATAAATTGTCCTCGAAAATTTGTACAAAAAAAAATTATCAATAGTTTTAATGATACCAAAACAAAAAGCAGATTTAATTGTATCATAATAATATGCAATATTTTCTTTATTTAATCTTATACATATTTGTGAATAGAATATTATTTTTTGCTATGTTAAACTAAATTATAGACTTAAAAATAATATCACCTGGAGAAAGTATGATATCCAGTGCATTTCCTACAATAAAAGTTTCAGGTGGGCCCGGAATTTTTCTGAGCATTCGCGCTTTTCTATTGTAATTCATTAACACATGAATGAAACACAACAATACAGCAATAACAGACAACGTATACACTAACATGTTGTAAAGAGGTCTGAACACTGCTGCACAATGGACTCTACTGGCGTTCAGATATCTTTATCCACACAATTCATTCGTTGGTGCTTGCAATTACTAAATATCAATATAATTTATAAAATAAATACAGTGGTACAGTCTCCGCAACTTATTTACGAAAATATTTATTTTTTTATTGTACAATAAAATTTGTACAAATGGCAAGCTAGATGCCGTATAACATTCTCTACTAAGTTACCATTATTTAAAAACAGAAAGCGTTTCAGGGCAGTGATGACGAATATACATTACACAAAAAAATACATATTAATATAAGTTATATATATATATACACATTTATATGAAAAGGGATTTATTTGCCGTGTAGTTCCGACAAAAAATAAAGAGGGTGAGGGATGAGTAGCAGCGTCCCTCTTAAAAGATTTCCAAAGCCTAACTGCGGTTGCCAATTTGCCTACCAAGCGTGGCAACTACTGGCAAGACCCTCCAAGAGGGAGGCTTATGTTTAGCAGAGGACAGGAGGAGGACAGGAGAGGAGAGGAGTTAAAGGCTGATATGATGATGATTTATATGAAGAGAATGAAGAAAAAAGTATTATATTTAGTGGATAACAAAGTGTTAATAGTGATATCTAATTGGTCTAATTACTATTTTCTTCGCTATTGGTTTACATTGGGGGATCATAAGTGAGAATAAAGTCACCATGAGTATTTCACCAGAAGCAATCACTCATCGTGAGAATTTCAACTGAAATTAAACTCAATCCAGAGAGATTCCCATAACGTGTTTGATTAATGGTGAAGTCCGCAACATGGAGGTTAACCTGACATTGTATTTGTATTACTAGCAATGACCCCGCTAATGCCCAATTCAAACAATACTCTTTTTCCGCTTATATCGTATTAGATCTACATCGTTTCAACAAGAAACTGAAATATTCTATCGTTTAGAAAAGTTGCATATAAATATAGCCATAACGTGTCTATCGATGCATTCATGTGCCATTTATTTTTTCTTAATAGTATTCTCACTGCCGAGGGACATGATTATGGTATGTAGCTTCTGTCACCAACACTCACCATACCCACCATAAGCATCAACCATAATCATGAGTTTTAACAACCTAACCTTAAACCAACCTAAGATCATGGCTGATGATTATTGTTGTTGATTATGCAGCATTCTGGATGTATTTCGGTAAAGCAATAGTTAATGTATCAGTTATGATAAACTTGTTAGGATTTGCGAATGGACCTCCTCACATTCTCACCTATCATCTCTCACTGATGCCTTACCACTAGACACCGATAGCACACGAAAGGTTATCATTTCATTATCATTTATTTAAAAAACATATGTACTGGAAAGGGTCACAAGCAAGCAAATATACTTTGCCTTTTTAACTGCTTTAAAGACAGACGGTAACTTAATTAGTCTAGATAAATAATGTTTATCTATTTTAATCAAAACTTAAAAAAAAACAAATCATCATCATCATATCAGCTGTTAACCAAACATTGCTGAACATAATTATTTACCAGAGGGAGACTTTGTACAAAAGTCGATTACTTGGGTACCTCTGTCCCATTCGTGTTTCAACCGTGAAGCAGTTATGTTGGCATGGCTGTGTTTCGGTTTGAAGGGCGTTTGATATGGCGTGAATTTACTGGGTACAGAGGAATAACACCTGAGTCCTCAGGAATGACAACGCATGGGGGGTATCATGGGCGAAACAGTATACTCTCTTATGTCCATGGTACTGCTCATGTCTATAGGCGACGGTTACCACTTTCCATCAGGTGGGCCGTCAGCTTGTTTGCCATTCTAAGTTGTATAAAAAAAAATTTATACTAAATTGCATTGAAGCAAAGTCAAATATAGTACTTGATACAACTTTATATAGATTACAATTCTATTTCATGCATTTAATTCACTAATATTTTCAATTTCTTTTTCTTTTTATTTATGAAAATATTGGAATCTACATTTTTTTCAAGTTGACTGTATAAGAAAGGTGAAATATGCGGATACAATGAACTCATTTCATCAGGTGTAATTTAAATTATAAGGAAATGTGTATCTCTTTAAAAATTCATCCGTCAATTACAGATATAAGGAAACAGTCCTTTCGTACACTTATACTAATATATCATTTTTATTTATTATAATAAATGACCGATAAGCGATGTATTTTTCTTTAATAAAATATAAAAAAAAATATAAATAGTCGTGCTCACTAGAATTTCGAAATTCTTTTTTTATTTTAAATATATAGCACACCTGTAATACCGTTGGTGTTGTGGGTGATCATGGGCGGCGGTAGTCACTTACCATCAGGTGAGCTGCATGCTCGTTTGCCCCTGTGTTGTAAAAAAAAGTAAAATAAATTGTATTGTAGTCATCTAATCAAAAAAGTAACTTTACTAATTTCTGCCCTCGACTTCCCCCGCATGATCAGGGTATGTTCACTGACCGTGATGAAAGTAGACTATGTTCTCTTTCATCCCATATAGTACTATACTAAATTCCATAGTGATTGATTCAACCATTAAGACGCTAAGAAGCAATGAACAAACAAACAAACTCACTTTCACATTTACGAGACTAATTTTATTTTTTTTAGCCACACACATCAGGTATGCAATCAGATGACCGATGCGCTTATATCAAATCCACGAATACCACACCCTCCCTATTCACACTAACGGTTTGCTTCTTGTCGTTTTTGTACCAATCATCATTACCTTAGCCATTAGCCGTTCACTGCTAAAAATAGGCCTCCCCATAGACTGATATAAAGAAACGTCCGGAGCCACCTGCATCTACTGATTCCTTGCAATGCAGTTAAGGTTGTCACTCCATCTAGTGGAGAGTCATCTTACACTCCGTTTACCGGTACGGGGTTGCCACTAAAGAATCTGTCTTCCTTATCGGCTGTCGGTTTTTAAGCTTTAATGTGATAAGCAAGTTGAAGTGGCAATAACCACTTCAACTTACTTTTCCTTCAAGCTATGTGAGTAACTTTGGTTTTTTGAGAATATCGTAATTTCGAATTCTGTCACACAAAGAAACTCCGAGAATACCCCTCTCTATGGCTCGTTGAGTAATTTTCTGAAACAGTGTTACTAAATAATTACATTTTTGTAACATTTTTTCAGGTCGACCTACACGTGATTGCCCCTGAAAACACTTATAACACTAGTTATATGCCGTAAATTTGCCCACATAAAACAGTATATAAAGTATCCTGTCTCCTAAGTTAAAATATTAATCTATCCATGTACTAAACTTCATTCGAATCCGTTCAGACGTTTAAGCGTAATTGGGTAACAAACATACAAACATATTTAGATATTTTCCATCTAAAGAATTAGATATGTAGTACGATTAAGTTAGATGTGTGTACTAAGCACAAGGCAGAAATTGACGAATATGCTAATTAAAAATTGATAAATGAGAGGTTGGAATGTGTTAAAAATGATCGACAACCATTGAAATAGTTTTTTTTTTTTTAATTAATATTTTATTTGAAATTATTGAGTGGGTTAATATGAAAAAATATTTATTATTTTAAAATTATATACTTATTCTAGATTAAATTGGCGCAACGCAATTTTCCAAAAGTAAATGAAATTAATTAATGTATTTTATTACAAATAAAACTCATATTTTACTTCGGAATTTCTACATGTTGTATTCTTTTAACCTACAAACCGATACCTTCACCTCATTACACTGATAAAGTGTAGTTCATAATTATCTACTTAAACCGATATACCTAATAAAAAAACGCAAGAATTGTAACTTTGATTAAAACAAAAAATCAAACGTTCTGTGTAATATATATACGCCGTTATCCTGACAACATTCAATATGAATTAATTATGTCTTCGGATACACAATTCGTCGTGTAAATGGTTAATCTATTATGACAAATTCCACAAGAATTAACCAAGATGGTTTCCAGGGGGAACCGCGTGGAGATCGACCTGATAGGGTATATTATTAGCAATAGAGCTAGCTATTAGATCTCCATTACTAATCTCTCCCGGGTATGCGATGTTGTTCTATTATATCTTCAGGCTCCCTAATTCGGTTTCCTAATCGGGGAATCTGATGCCAAAATCCGATGAGTACCGTTTAAAAAAAATACCTAACTGCCAAGTTTCTTGTGAGGTCTTCTCAGCATATGACAGCAAGTCATAACTCACGTTAGACATATAAAAAACTGATGATTTAATTTACATAAATATGGTTTATATTCTATTTAAAAAAAATTGTCTACCATCATAGTTAATTAGACTTAAATGTTATATTATCGCAATTGAACCTTTGCTCTTAGACAATTCGATAAACATGTTTGTTGAACTTGTATTACTACGTATCTAAATGGTACGGGCTAATATATTTCCATTAACGATGCATGGTGCATTACACCCAAGTTGTCTTAAAGCTTTTGTTTCTAATAACTAAAATATCTAAAATTAATGAGATTTGCTGAAACTACATAATTATATTTCAGTCACTATAATAGGCTCGATTCATTAGTAAGAATCTGTGAGAATAGTTTGAAATACACACGTACCTAGTCTGTCTATCTATACATAATAAAATCATTCATTAATTCATTTTAAATCCTTGAACTGTCCACTGCTAAACATAAGCCTTCCCCGTAAGAGGAGTTTTGCCAGTAGTCGCCACGCTTGCGCTTGGCAACCGCAGTTAGGCTTTTAGAGATGTTTTAAGAGAGACACTATTACCGATCCCTCTACCATTATGTTCCCTTAGTCGCTTCTTATGACACCATCGGGAAAGGAAGGGATAGTCTATTCTACACCGCGACCACACATCTTAAATACATATAAAATCGATTATCCTGAAAGATTCACCAACGCACAACGTAAACCACAAGAGCTAAAAACTTGATAATTGATAATTGATGAATTTTATAATGTAAACATCCACTAAGGAAGGAGATTTGAAAAACGATTGTATAAAAATCTATCATTTTCAAAGTTAGAAGCTTGAAATTTCATATACAAGCTTTAAGATAGAAATAAATAAATTCGTATTACAGCGTTTTTGAATGTCTGTTTTTGAAAAGGGAATTTAATATTAAAGCTTCCCACCAAAAATGAATACCTACATATACATTTTATTGTTTTTTTATACCATTGAACACTGAACAGAGTAAGACAAAATCTTTCCTAAGACTTAAGCGTTAGATACCGCTTGTAAGCCTAAGATCATCGACGTTTCTCGTTTTTTGGAGTTCCATTACTCAGACGAGAAATGGGATGGCAATTTTTTATTTTCGCTTTAAAAGGTTAACACGCTGATATGAAACTTACATTGTATGTACATTATACTACATCTATAATATGGATATATACGCTAAAAAAACTTTGTTTACATATTCAGGGAAGTATCGTAGTAGCATCGTAGATCGTATACTATAAAATATATTAAGTCAAACTACAGGCATTTACTGTAAGTTCACTGATGATTATTAAAATACCAATAATTCAGTTTATATAAACCTTAATTAAACTTACATTAGAATCTTAATATAATTTACATTAAATATTAAATTACTATATTAAATTACTATATTAAATTACTTTAAATTAATAGCTATTATCTATAGAAAAATTCGGCATAATGTTTCTTATTCTATATAATAATAAGTGTCTATATTAAAAACTGATATTCAGAATCTAGATTGAAAGTACGAGTAAATACCAAACGAAAGTAATTGTGGGCATGGCTGACAAATAAAAGTCAATGTTCTTCACGCCATTACATCGCCATTACCTACAACAATAAATTACTAGCGAAGTATTAACATAAAAAAAATTGCAGCAAGATCAAAATAATTAAGTTAAAGGAAGTTAATACATCTCCATGTATGTAAATGTCATGATAATCTTAAAAGAAATCCGATGTAATGCACCAATATATTATTATCCTCAACGTGTCATCCGGATAGGGAAAAGTTCGGTCGTCGTATAGCCGGTAAAACCATTTTAACAATTACCATGCACATGTGTAGTAATTGTTTTATTAAAGTCACATATTTTTGTATTTTAAAGCTAAATTAGGTAAACTGTAACATAAACTATCTTTAAATTTTTCTCTATATTTTCTTAGTATACTCGTATATTCAAAAGTAATTGTTTCATGTATAGTTTCATTAATATTTTATATGCCAGTTGTTTGAATTTGATAAAACTAGATCTGTTTAGAAGTACAAAACCTTAACCTTACGGCTAAGCTTACAGAGTATTTCGGGATAATATTCTTGAGTATTGTCATAGACCATAGATTAAGAATAGTACTTGCGGTTCACACAGGTTATAAAAAAATATAAGACCAAGTAGTGACCAATAAGTGCTGGCCTGCGTCACTTCAAAAATAAATTGTTTCGTATGGAATCTATGCAACCAGCTTACTGACTACGAAAATTTTACACTATAATAATAATATAGTCGGGTCTTTTACAATACCTATCGATATATTGTATACCTATAAATAACTGGCTAATAATATTTTTTATTTCCATATTTCATAAATGTAAAGGCAATATGGATACTAATGTTAATTTTAAGTGTTTATGGCATGGATTGATTACTGAATAAGAACAAGGATCTTTGATTAGTGACTCAATCAAAGAGTATAATATATATAAATCCCATAGATTAAAGATCCTACGGCGATAAATCTACTATTGACAATGTCAGTAAAAAAACTAAAATAGTCAATGTACGTAAAAAACTATAACAGATATAATTAACTTGCAGTAAAACAAAATCCAAAAATGTAAAAAAATAATTAGCAGAATAACAAGGTGAAGAATTAGTAAACTATATTCCTTCACTCGAATATGACACAGCATGAAACCCTATCGCCGTACTAATAAGGTTTTTATGGTTGAAGTATGCACCAAATTAAGACAACTAAGTATTTCTGTGTAGCAAGTAGATATCGAACTACAATAATTATCTGTAATATAAATATATACTAAATAATCTCATTCAGTAAATATAAAATAACTAAATAGAAGAAGTTAGCTGTCCACAGCTGAACATATGCCTCCACCTTGGGGGCTTTTGCCAGTAGTTTCCACGCTTGGCAGACGAGTTCGCTACCACAGTTAGGCTTTAGTGGGGTTTTAAGAGGAACGCTGCTGCTCGTTCCTCAATCATTAAATTGCCTAAGTCGCCTCTTACGATACCCAGGTGATAGGAAATGGTAGCCCATTTTATGCTGTAACCACATGACAGAAGAAGCATACATAGAGGTATTACTAGATCATTAATATGACTTTAAATAATAAAGAAACCTAATTAAGAAAGTAGATATAACTAACAACGTCGCTCTCGTGCGCTTACAATTATCAATTCTTAATATTCGATCCAATAAACAACAAACAAGCTGTAATGCTAAGCAGTAACTCACCTGATGGAAACTAATGGTCGTTGCTTATAAACATGAAATAAAATCATAATATAGTAATAAATGCAGTACTTCAGAGAAGCTTCCTCTCACATACGCTCCACGATCTTCCTGCCGAGGCTTTCCGTAGAGACTATAACATGAGGTTCTTCATTAAGGTTTCTTAAATATCGGCAACGCACGCGTGGCAACCCTGGTATTACAGGCGTCCATAGGATACGGTAATCCCGTTTACCATCAAACAGATCGTATACTTGTTTGCTGGCAAAGTAAAATAAAAACAACTTTTATTTGTTTTATGTAAGTAGATTCTTTAGAGCTATATACGCTATCCTACTTACGCATAGAAGTAGAAAATATTCTCCAGCTTTATCCAACTCCATATTATTTTCACTATGTAACTTTTCAGCAGCTACGCTCGGCGTCAAGGCTGGGTCGTGTGAAGGTACTGCTCCGAGAGTTCGCAAGCGATGTCTACTCTCTCTGGCGTTATGGTGCACCTTTTCCCACCTTCCTAAAACTCATAGGCACTCTAATACTCTGCCTGCTCGTTGTTATGCCACTTTTTTACCCCCTTTTTGTATTGATCATAACTTTCTTCACATTCGAAGGACTTTATCTTAGGTAAGCCTAAATTATTGAATGTCGATAGGCGTTGTGCATATACATACATACGATATACACATACTTTATACATTATTCATTTTACATACAATGCGTTGAGATCATACGATATCAGAAAGTAGAAACTATTTGAACAATCATCAAACTGCGACATCACAAATCAGTGTCTAACTACTGTCGATACACCCACTGCAATCTATCCATAGCAAATTGTGGGAAATTAACCTATGTTAATGTCGTCAATTAAATGGAAAAAAAATCAAAATGAGGATTTTTAAACATTTTATTGTAAAGACAAAAAAGATAATCAGTGTTTCCACTATTGATACGAATCACACAACTTGATATGCTTAAAATCAGTTTATCATAATCACTTTGAGCAATGGCTACGTTCTTACTAATAAAAAAGTTGTTGTAATGTATGAACGGCATCTATACTCGGCAAAGTTTTTCTTTGAAGCATTTCCCATGCAATGCAATGAAATTCCGAAGTTTCGGACTCAATTTCGTGTTTTAATTCATACCTAAATTAGCCTAGTAAATGGAGCTTAATATTTTGTTTGTCATAAATCCTACCAAAAAAGTCCAAAAGAATATTATTTTAATATTTTTAATGTTTTTAAACGGTAAGTATTATGTAATTTTAACATCAAATTTGTGTCTTGTTCGGCTCCGAAATTTTGGAAAATATTTCATGATAGGCCCTCTGTTCTCGTGTTGTAGCTTCATACTAATGCAATTTTTTTAGTTCCGATACAGAAATTGCAAACTTTTTGTAAATACGCTATTACATAATTTCATAAGAATCGTGATTGACAGTTAATTTTTGAAATTTATTATAAAGAATCAACAACAATACAAAAAAGCCAAAATAATAATTCCCAATTGCATTGATATTTTATTTAAAACCTACTTGATCCCTAGACACTTTTGATGTGTGTAAAATATAAGGCGCTCCACACACTGACCGCTCTCAGTTGCAATTTCTCTTTCTGCCACAGAGGCAAAGGGCAAGAATCGCGACGGTGTAAGTGAAGGTTGAAGTAGCATGATATAGTAACACTACGAAGGACAGCAGTATGAAAGTAAATTGGTAGCAGAGCGTGCATGTCACTTACCAATAATAATTTTATTTTCAGCTGGTGGACTGATCAATCATGGAGGTTCTTGCCAAATAGTATATTAAAACGGGCGTTGTCTGTCGCTTTCTATCCATGTGCTACTCGTGAGATGTGGAAAGTTCGAGATGTGCTAACCCGTGGAATACTTCTAATTCACTCTCTTGCCACCTCGGTGGATTATCTCTGTGTTATGCAAAGCTTGCTAGACGATTCTTGATATTCATAAATTACATTTGTTAATTAAAACTGTAAAATAAATAATCATTATTATTTTCAAGTATTTTATATGCACTACTTTTTATGATGCTACTCGTATAGAAAAGATTTTTAAGTTAGCAAGTAAAGCCGTGATTTCGAATCTAGTGAAACATTAAAACAACAATATAAATAAATAATAAGCATCAACGCAGTACTTAATTTTTTTTATGCAACTTAGAATGGCAAACAAGCTGACAGCCCACCTGATGGAAAGTGGTAACCGTTGCCTATAGACATGAGAAGTGCCATGGACATAACAGACTATACTGTCGCCCATGATACTCCCCCATACGTTTCCATTCCTGAGGACGCAGGAGTTATTCCTTTGTACCCTATAAATTCATTGCCATATCCAACCCTTCAAACTGAAACAGCCATGCAAACTCAACTGTTTCACGGTAGAAACACGAATGGGGCAGAGATGCCCAAGCAAACGTCTTTTGTAGAAAGTCTCCCTCTGGTATGTACGATGTAAACTTTTTTTATTTTTTTTTAGTATCCAAACCCACTAAGAACGCATTTTTTTATTTTGTAAACCTTTCTATGAAAATATTTTGCTAATTAGGAATTATTATCTTGTTAATATATAAAATATCTTGTTAGGATATTCACTCACGCTCATCTCCTAAACCACTCAACTAATTTTATAGAAATTTTGTACTTGAAAGATAGAATAGTTTTTAGCCTGACAAAAAAATGGAAAACGGTAAAAGGCAAAACATCTTTTGCCGTGTTCACTATTATTATAGTCTATTGAATAAACAACAATAATAAACACTAAAATATAAACTTCACATACTTCACATTTATCACATCTCTCACTATAAGGTAACAATGTCATTAGGAATTGACGTTATCTGGAGGGCATGCTAAAACTTACCTCGCGAGATACCGTTACAATACTGTGACTGGTCGGGCACTGAGTGCTGTAGTCGCAGTGTAGTTAGAATCTGTTCTGTGGGTGCCGTCTCTTAGGTGTTGCTAATCGCATAATTAAAACCTCTTCATAATCTAGTGAAGTTTTATAAAAGAATCATGGCTTGTTGGTCCCTTATCGCGTTGTTAGCGCTGAGCCAAACGTAAGTACATGTTTGTTTACGCCAACAATTGTTATACATACCTATATAATTGTTACATGGTAACCAAACCACTATGTTAATTAAATGAATTAAATTGATTTTTTAAATTTTTCTACCTTCATCAGTAAATGCTAGCTAGCGTATTTATTATAAGTGACAGCAAACACTTTTATTACGTACAAAAATTTTTATTAATATCAAATAAGTGTGTTTTTCATGATATTGACTATACTAATATTATGAAAAGGAAAGATTTGTTTGTTTGTTTGTAAAGAATAAATTAAAAAAATTACTTAGTCGATTTTTAAAATTCTTATATCTATAGAAAGCTATATTATCGGCAAGTAGCATAAGCTATATATCTATTATTTTCGAAAATTTTATCTAACCGTGCGAAGCCGAGCCGAATCTCGAGTTCTTTATAAAACTCTGATGTAGACAATGCACAGACTAAATTATATAGTCTAGAAATATTAATCTTTAATCTGAATTTCCTTATATGACGTGAATGGGGACTAAAATATAGAAAAGACACCTTGTCACTATAATTCCACCTAACAGAATGATTCGATCAATTCATAGTATACACTTAAAATTCCACAACCATGGTCACCGAATATATATACACAACCTTGTTTCCATTTTTATTCAATATTGAATTTTGATGTACCCAATGTTATTAGATACCTAACTATATTAGGTACAAAGAAACCTTAATTTTGGCAGAAAACTATTTACATAATTGGAAATTTACCAAAACGAAAATATTGTCGACTTGGTATAAGGAATTATGCCAATGAGTCGCTAACTTATATTGTCCATGGACATTTTTTTAGAACTTAGAAATTTCACCTGATGACGGCACTATGGATACAAAATCAAGTTAATAATAATAATAATTTTTATTTTCAGACTATAACTTGTTCCATTTTGTTAGCAACAATTTCCTTACAAATTATGTTAGTAAAAAAAAAACAAATAAAGTGAGCATTCAACTAAAGCAATTCACTCAAATGTGACCCAGCCGACTAGATCAGCATCTGAATGAAATGCCTAATTATAGGCAAATCATATCTCTCGTCTATTACTTTTAAAATGTTATTAGTGCTTGTCCTAACCCTGTATAATAGAGGAAGAAGGAATTGTTAGTAATTTGAATTATATGCTATCAATATTTCCTATCAAGTCGACTTCTACGCGATTCTTTTAGTTCCAAACTAAGCAAAGCCCATACTATAAGTAGAATAACTGAAAGAAATGCTTGAAACTTTATTTTGTAAATATAATTACTCATAATAAATACTGAGATTATTCTAAAAGAAACAATGAAAAAGTACAATACAATCAATTCTTAAAGTTATAGTATTATAAGTTACTCGTAGTTATATAAAACTGCTTAATAATATTAATACAGGCAATCCTATTTTAGGAGCTCTGCCCACTATACCAAATTCCCGGAAGGGTTTACATTCGGTGTAGCAACAGCTGCATATCAAATCGAAGGTGCCTGGAACGTCAGCGGTAAATAGTTTTCAACAAAACTGTTATTGAATTTGAACTACTAAAAATCTATATTTACTTGTTTGTTTGATGACGCTATATAATCTAGGTAAATCTGAAAATGTATGGGATCGTCTCACCCATACTCGACCTGACATGATTGCTGATGGTACAAACGGAGATATAGCATGCGACTCCTACAACCGTTACCGAGAGGACGTCGAGGAATTGGCGTACCTTGGGGTGGACTTCTACCGCTTCTCTTTATCTTGGGCTCGAATACTACCAACGGGTCAAGTCAACTATTTGAATCCTGATGGAATCCGTTACTACAATGATTTACTTGAGGCGCTTGAAGCGAAAAACATTGAACCACTTGTAAGATTTTTTATTAACTTTACTTTTGTCATGAAAAATGTACACCTAGAACTATTCACTGTAGGTGGGTAATATATAAGAATATCTATATATTGGCTCAACAACAAGTATGTTAAGTGTCTGTTATCCAATATTTTATGTCGAAATGAATATACGAGTAGATATCCGATCTGTACGGGCGATATCGGAATGGACAATGTTTTACGCCATCTATGCTAAAAAGAATATAATACATAAATATATGAACGGTACCAATTTTACCCTTGCTTACTGTCCAGACCTGAGGATAACACTTTAGTATAATTGTAGTTGCAATATTAACCCAATAACAAATATATTAAATACCAATTATAATATAAAAATTAAAAACCCAATCAAAATGAATACCTATATTAATTCGACTAGTATAGGTAATATCAAAATATGTGATATCCTTTTTTCTGCTACCAATATATAGAGACTCAGTATATGGATATCAGAACTGACCAATATTACTCATGCTTAACTTGAACTAATTTGTAAGTAAACTCACACTAAGTATATGTGTCTATTTACGAACTACACTATATTTTTACATATACATACGTATTCATTAAATATTTTTACTAACTAGAAACTATATTAGCAAACTTGCCTTTCAGACCGAAACCCAACAAAGCACACATTGCTGCTTCACAACCTATAAAACATAAACCAATTGTATTAATTGAATTACACAAAACTCTATGACCATAATTGTAGGAATATATGATTTTAAATCGTAGATTACTTTCCAGGTTACGCTTTTCCATTGGGACTTGCCCCAATCTTTACAAGATTTAGGAGGTTGGGCCAATCCTAAAATGATCGAATACTTCCGTGATTATGCAGATGTTTGTTTTCGAGAATTTGGTGACAAAATAAAATCTTGGATAACTTTCAACGAACCTTACGAGATTTGCGAAGATGCTTATGGTGACGAGAAAAAAGCACCAGCAGTTAACAGTCACGGTGTTGGAAACTACTTATGTAGTGACACTTTACTGAAAGCACACGCTGAAGTATATCATTTGTACAACGACACGTATCGTTCAAAACAAAATGGCAAAGTTATGATCTCCATTAACTCAATTTGGTATGAACCCAAAGATCCTGAAAATGCTGAGCAGGTTACTTTGGCTGAAGTGGCAAATCAGTTTAAAGTAAGTACTCAGGTAGAGTTTTGTAATAGGTCTAAGAATCTAATAGTTATATTCCATATACATAAGAAATCAGATATTTCAGATTTCATGAATTATATATTTAAGAAGTGTTATATTCTGCACGCGTATTCTTTATGGTTATGTATTGAGATCATTCGACGGAATTACATGATTAGGCGTAATGAGTATACCAAGTGATGTCCTTAATACTGGTCATAAAATAATTTTCCTCAAGGACTATACTCCAAAAATAAAAATATTTTTTAAACTTTTAGTGCAAGGTAAATCTTTCAGTTACGTTTTGCATGAGAAGTTAAAAAAATATTTTAAAAATTCTACTATCTCCAAAAATCAATTTAGTATTATGTGGTTGTATAATAATGAGGTTGCGACTGAGTTTCCACATGTGGACTAGCGTTCCCGTTGCCTGCAATGTATACACCCAGACAGTTCGAGGTCCACGCGGTCCGCCTAGAAACCATCATGATTAATAAGTAGATTCACTACAATAAGCCGACTAGCCTGACTTCATTCTCATCGTTTCACCCTCTACTGGCATCCTGCTATTGTACAATATTGTCATAAGCAATTGTATCGTGCTTCCTTTACTATAATTTAAAAAAAATGGTTTTAAAGGTTTAATGAAATTAATTAATTTAATAACCTAGGCATTTATATAATTTCCAGTTTGGTTGGTTTGCTCACCCTATATTTACTGAAGAGGGTGGTTACCCATCGATTATGGTTGAAAACGTAGCCCGCCAAAGCGAGGCTGAAGGTTATCCGCGGCCTCGCTTGGAACAGTTTGATGAATATTGGATTCAAAGGATAAAGGGTACATCAGATTTCTTAGGCATCAATCACTATACGACACATTTAATTACTGGTGCCGGCGTAGATCCCGTAGCCAAATCTCCATCTTGGCTGAAAGATATTGGAGCTCTTACAACTATGGAAGTAGGTGAAGAATCAGCATCCGAGTGGCTTAGGGTAAGTACCATTTTTAACCTCTTTATCACCTGGCTTAGTACCCCTAAGCCAGGCGATCAAACACTAACTAAAATCAGCAACTTAATTCTGACTATGACAAATAATTTAAATCGGAATCAGTTGTTTAACGCATAATTTCGACAGGAATACGTACATATACATACATATATGCGCCACCTACACTTTGTCTTTTTTTCTTTTGTCAATGTCCTCTACCCAAAGGTTGTCTGGAAGAGATTGCTTAGCGATTAGGCCGCCTTTTGTATCATTTCTCATTTACAATTAAATGTATTTACTATTTTTAAAATGGTGCAATAAAGTATAAATAAATAAATTTAAAAGGAACATTAAGGTAACTAAAATATTTTTTAGTAATATTAGTCTGACGCAACCCTTTTAGACAAGTGGCAAATGAATCTGTTGGTAAATACATTTACATTAGATCGTGAATAGATAGATTTGGCGTTGCTGTCTAGTTTATGCGTGCGGCAGCGATATCGTATCTATCGATAGATTTGTATGCTACTTGTATATGGACATATGGGGACAAATCAGTTACTGTATATTTAATTGATTAATATAACATTTTGTGTAACAGGTGGTACCTACTGGATTTGCAAATTTACTTCGCTGGTGCAAATCTTCTTACAACGACCCACCAATTTATATAACTGAGAATGGTGTATCTGACCGCGGCACACTACAAGATTACAAACGCATCCAATATTTTAACGTCAGTATTTATTACCTTCATTTAAACTAAATAGAATTTACTAAAATATATCATAGCAATATTTTTTCGAATGTCAGTGTTTAAGAAAAAAAATATATATTAAATAATAATACACAATTAACCTTATATTCCTTCCAGCTGGATATTTGTCTATTTTATGCAAAATTATTTTAATTTATTTTAACACAGATTCTTTACTAAATATGCCTAGAAAACCTTACCTTTAAAATAAGATTATATTCACTATTCTATAATTGTCTAAAAGTAGATACATAATCAAGTACTATTCTTTAAGAGAAAATTATATTTTAGGATTACCTCACAGAAATTTTAAATGTAATCTATGAGGATGGAGTTAATGTCCTGGGCTACACAGCCTGGACTTTGATGGATAATTTTGAATGGAGAGCAGGATTCTCGTAAGTAAACGTAGTAACCATACTAACTTTATAATTAAATTCTAATACTATCTATATGAGGGAAAAGGGATTGTTAGTAATGGAGACTGAGAATCCTACTGCTAGCAATATACCCAACCAGGTCGACCTCCTCGCGGTTCTCCCTGGAAACTATCATGGTTAATTCCTAATGAATTCATCATGATGGGCTAACTGGCCTGTTTTCATTCTCATCTATCACCCTTCACTGGTGCTCCGCCAGCGTATCCCGTTAGCGCAGGCGGGGTTACCATACCATTTTCACCCATAAAAAAAAACTATCTATATATACGTTAGGTCCGGGGCAGACGCAAACTGATGACGTTATTTTTCTTTCTTAATTAAATAAAAATAAATTCATTATTAACTTCGGTCGATGCCAATCTCAATATTTGTAAACCAAAACTTAGCTACCTCTACATATATGCTTAAATACTTAGGTAGGTACATAAATTTTCAAGAACTGTAAAAATACCGCGTTATTTATAATACTAATTACAATAACTGTGCCTACTACTTCATTCATCTGATTGTAAGTCACTTTCACATAATAAAGATATAACAAGGAAATTGCCCTCGATCAAAGGTTTCGAAAGTTAGGACAAAATTTATACCTACTCGCCCTTTAATTATTTATCAGAATCTTTAGGATTTTATATTTATTTTTGCATTAGGTACTAGATATGACTATAGTAGCTGCATCCTATACTTATTCTCATATCACTGTTCTTGATTACTTTTCACCAAGATAAGTCCAACATGGTCGACTGACCTTTCTGGTATTTATTTAGTTTGTAAAACTGTTTTCTGCATGAACAATTTTAACTCGAGTCTCTAGATCTATGTATATGAAAATTAGAATTTTAATTTTAAATACACTGAGGCTCTAGGACTAATTTCGTTTTTGTTTTATTATTTTTGTTCATATTATTTGTTTTTCGTTCTACAGGGAGCGTTTTGGTTTATACTACGTGGACATAAATGACCCTGCTCTACCTCGGACGCCGAAATTGTCCGCAGAGTACTATCGTCAACTTACAAATACTAGAGAACTACCTCAAGACGACCGCTTTAAGGACCCCGCCGTAAGAAAACAGTAATAATTAACAAAAAGCATGTTTGTAAATAATTTAAACTGAAGTGCGCTTAAATTTGTTCCACTTATGTGATAATATTGTAGAACTAACAGTTATTTAATAAACTGTTATATTATTATTGCTTTTTAATACTTACCAGTAGATACGTAATTGTACGTTTGAAGAATATTCGGTGTAGGTACTCAAACTGTTTTTTTTATATCGACTAACATAAAAATTTGATACTTTAGTATTTGTAATAATACCTAGATATCTAATTAATGCTTATACTAATACTGACAATCCATTACACGTTCCTGTACACGTAATAATATAATTTGCTTTTTATATAATTGGCACTTTAAGTAAACTATTTGGAACGTGTTATTTTAGAAATTGGTCATTCGAAACATATATTTATTACATAACACATTACACACATAACAAGTTATGTATCTATATCGAAATAATATTATATTCAAAAACTATTATTTGAAACATAGTAATGTATGTAAAAATAGTTATAGTTATTTGACTCTTATTGTATATTATTTCTATATAAAGGCGAAAGTTGTTTAGAAAATATGATAACTATTAAAAAGCAGATTTATATAATCTGCTGTAGTTGCAAACGTTCAGTAATAAGGTACGTGATGTATTTTATTATATATATATATATATATATATATATATATATATATATATATATATATATATATATATCTATATATATATTTTTTTTTTTTTTTTTTTTTTTTTTTTTTTTTTTTTTTTTTTTTTTTTTTTTTTTATTGTGAGAACATATTATGAGCATGTACGGTTGAACTAAAGAGTAATAGTACTGTTTCAGCTTAAATGCTTACTTGGCTGTATTATTATGCATCTGTAATGTAATTTTTAATATTAAATATAATAAATATCCTTTAAATCACGTAGAATAATTTACGCACGTTCATTTAAATTAACGTTCCTGTTTGTCGCTTCAACAGAAAGTTCATGATGAATTCTGATGATGTCAATATAAATATTGTGATCGCCGAGACCAATTAGGTGTATGTATATTCTAGGAGTGAAGTAAATTAAAAGTATTAAAACAAGTATTATTTTATTTAATTCATATTATTCGTATAAGAATATCGAATTATTTACAATGAGGATATTGTAAATTATTTGCTTTTGATACACATCGTTTCCTTTGTTATAACATCAATATAAGTAAAGTTACATACACTACAGAGAAAACTTGCTTCTGCTATCAGACTGAAAAGATATGTTTGTAATTATAAAGGCTATACTTAGAAATAAACGATATAATTTACACTTGATATATTGTTCAGAATATTATTCTGCAACAAGCCACGTCACAGAGCAGGCCCAAAGCGGCCGAGCACAGTGAACTGTTAGCAAAATGGAATGTTTCATAATATGTTATTAAAGCAACAGATTATGTAAATAAGTATATTGCGGGCATGTATATATTATTCAATCGCAGCCACAGACAAAAAGAATATTCAAATACTACACAGTACATTAATTGAATCAGCTCACGAGGCTTCGTAAACATCAAAAGTTTGAGAATAATCAACCGAACAATATGTAAAGCATCGTAACTTAGGGAACATAAGAACTATTACACGAATACAAATAAAATATAACGAATGGACCTACAGAATACAAAATTAAATGTATCAAAACCCAGCACCGTTACCTCTAATTACAATAGTTACACAGAAGCTTATAAATCTTATTTTATATAAATGAAAGTTACATTAAAGTCTTATAAGAGTAATAGTATTTTCCTAATATGGCAAAGTTTTCAATGTAGCATTTAAAATAGTCCTAATTTCATTATGATAAGTCAATAAAGATTGTAGAATTCATCACACTCTCATAAGTAAATAAAAACATCTAAAGACTAGGTGGGCTAAAACACAATTTTGAGAAGGTTTCGACATTCTGACAATATACGAGTGATAGATTTGTACAGATCGATAAGATAAAGTTAACGATATAATACTTGTATGACAGTGAAGATATGTTTATAAGTTATCTCAGTTGGCACCATATAGTTGTTGAATTCGTTTATATTGCACACTATCTATAAACAGCTAACGTATCTTCTAACTTTGCGAGTTAGAAAATTAATATGAAAAATGTATCAAAATTCATTTCATCTTATATCACTAAATATAGTAAGAGCTATAGTGATAGTCACATGTCAAAAAGTCGCGCCTAACTCATAATGGCTCCAACGACACAATTTCCGTTATTGTCTACACGAGCAGAATCATCCGGCTACATTTATATGTAGCCGGATGATTCCAGTAACTATATCAAATTACTCTCCGAGCCATTTCATTAAAGATAAGTAATTATAATAGATGCCAACATAATCATTATTTGTCTAGTCCCCCATTAAGGATAAAAACTTAACTACTATCGAATAATCTCGAAACAAATACCAAAGGACGGTGTAAGTAGACGAAACACATTGCTACAAGTATATAATTAATTATAATTAATCCCATATGAATACATCGAAATTCTGAATATAAAAATGTAGAAATATTTTAACATCTAAATTACAAAACACAATAAATAACTTTCTTTAAGGCACGATAAGGCACTGTTAAGTTATAGGTGTTATCACAATCGTAATTTAGTAGACACACGACTTTGTATCAAACCAGGCAGTACGGCTAATTTTTACAATAACTTTTAGAAGAATAGGATTTCCGACAATCTTAAACAAAAAGAACATGGGAATCCTAGCCTATTTATTAAATTGCGTTGCAACGTCACTCCTTTCAACTACGAAAGGAGGCTTGCAGCGACCGGGAAGGGTCGGGCTTGCGCCCTATTTGTATCTAACTAATTATGACTAGCCATTCATGACAGTCATGGTCAATAACATAGCGTTACGTGGCATTTGATTTAGTATAAACCGCTCGCAATTTATGGCCAATAGGCAACTATTATTGTCCTTCACAGTACAAAAAAAATTATAATATAACACCAATGTAAAAACACTTAGTGAATTTATGATTAGTACAAACGTTACCTCGTTCAGGCACAAACATACAAATACACATGTGTCAATTCATGAATATAATGCGCTTATTGCACAGAATTCAGTGTTTCTATCTCATTCGAATAAATGCAGAGACGACAAAACCAATTCTGAGTAATTAGCGATGGTCTAATTACATGTATTTAAATCAATATGATGACAGCAGCACCACAACGACACACAAACCAAATAAACGGCATTCATACGTTACTCTAGTTATTGTATTTCGTATTGAAATATACACCATCATTAGCGTATTGTCACCGACACTGCATATAATTGACGCCATGTAAAGTGGTAAGTACGCTAAATAAACATAGTATCTAATGTAAAAGTTTATGAGCATCGGACGTGCACCTTGTAAACGGTCGCGCAATCGTGCAAGCCAGCGCCCGAATTGCGCAGGAGGCGAGCGAAGCTGCGACGACGCTTAAAGCCAGGTCAGCGCGTTACCAGGCTTATTGGACGTCGGATTTATCAACGACTGCACATCGTCCAACAGCATGTCATTTGTCAACTCGCTCAACTGAAACCAAAACAACATAATGTTATTCGCAGTTTTTTTATACAACATAGCAAACAATCTAACGGGCCGCCCGATACAAAGAGGCAGCTGTGCCTATAAACATAAACAGCACCTTAAACATAACAGAATACACCGTAATACATGTGATGCCCCTGTCTCGTGCCTTACCATTTCTAAGTACTATAGTATATACCTTGATTATCTATAATTTCCTTCACATACCCCTTAATTCAAAACAAAACAACCGTGCAAATAGTCTGTTAAGCAAAAACATAAATAGGACACAAGTATCTATACAGGATTTTAGGCTATTTTTTTTAGTCTCTAGTGAAGAGAGCCAGGGATCAATTTAAGCGTTATTACATAACGATTATCCATACAGCTTCATAAATTTTCAAATTTGTAATATTACATATATTAATGATTAGTTGGTTGCAATTACTAGAAATGAAAAAAAAAAACCTCTAATAATGACAATTAACCTAACACTGTTGTCATGAATAGTGATATTTAAAATTGGAACACAAATCACAGCCATATTAACAATTATACTATGACGATGACTACCATGACGATCATATATCAATAATTCTTGTCGCTACTGAGAACTAAGGTTTTACCTTTTAGTTTATGTGTCAGAGAATGCACTTAACTATCGGGTCTTTTACATATAGCTTCTTCACAAAGACAATGAATAATTATTTTCTAGACTAATATTACAAAAAACAAAGATTTGATTGTTTGTTTGTAATGTATAAACACGAGAACTCCTCAACCAATTTTAAAAATTCTTTCATTTTTAGAAAGTTACATTATCAGCAAATAACATATGCTATATATTATTTTCGAAAATGCTATCTACTCATGTGAAGCTGGGCCGAATCGCTAGTATATTATAAACTATAATAAAACACAGGCAATTTAGCTAATTTGCCGTAATCATCACAAATAATAATAGTTCATAATCGTGCTTCCTTTAAATTTTATGAAGTCTATTATACAATAATGATAAATATTTTAAATAATAATTAACCAATTTAATCATGACAATGACGCGCGAAAATGTGTCACAATCACCACATAACGTTCATGGAATTATGGAACGAGGAAAATAATGTAGGAACGGGATAATATCGTGAGAAATTCTAATATAACAGCAAGAATGGTGTGCCCTTGTTCTAATTATATTACTATACTAAGTGATAGCGTGAAGTCGTCAGTACGTCTTTAATATTTTTTTCGTCAAAGGTGGAACGGTTTAACTGTAGATGTACTACTATCATTATCATCATATCAGCCGTAAACTGCCAATGCTGAACATAGGCCTCCTCCATAAAGGGGGTTTTGCCAGTAGTTGCCACGTTTGGCAGACGGGTTGGCGTCCGCAGGCTTTGGTGATGTTCAAAGAGAAACACTGCTGCCCATTTCTTGACCATTAAATTAATCGCCTAATACGGACACACAGGGGAAAGGAAGAGCTGGCCCATTCTACGCCGGGACTACACGGCGAATATACTACTAAATTAGGACGTTATTCCTCCGCACCAACTTAAATTCAAATTTATTTTCTATATAACTATCTCTTACCGAAGCCGGTTTTAGCGAAACTAACGTCCTTGGGTAAGTTTTTGACGACGCCCCTTTCCCTGACTACGAAACGAAAAAAAGTGCTCCTGAGCAAACTTTCACGATTATCTCATATAGGTCGTCCTTTTATCCTTTTGCTGTTACATTATAAGTCATTAAATCTAATAAACTGTACTATAAAACTATATTTAAAATAAACAATAAATAAATCAATTTTAACCATTGAAAACAAAACAGTGTTAATGTACTCTCAATCTCTTTCTCGCGACTTTGCCCTCGTGAAATAAGATAAAAATTATCCTATGTATCAATCCAAATTAATGTCTGACTCTATATCAAATTTCGTTTAAATAACAAAACAATATCTATGTGCTTAAAAATAAAACTAAATTACCTGTAAGGACGGCACTAAATCTGTGGTGTCGAGGTTATCGCCGAGCGGTATATCAGTGGAGTCCATATTAGCGCCCGCCTCACTACCGCAGTCCATGCGATCGTCCATACTCGCTAAAAAGTCTTCTGGCGTGTGCGGCATGGAATATGACTGTGCTACTCCCATTCCTAGCCCGCTATCAGCAGATTCTTGTCGCTGGTGGTCAGTCAATCCTGAGAGGAACGGGTCCAATGACAGCTCCGTGTTCGCCACAGCTCCGATACTGCTTGAAAGTGATGATGTCACTTGCCGAGCCATGAGTTCTTGCTGCAAATATAATGTTCAAATCTATTCATTTTATATAGATAAAGTTGGCTTCTAAGAAAATTGTACCTACGACCTAATGAAAGCCTACCTAATAAACATTTTTTTTTTATTATAAGATAAAATGATAAGGTTTGACAATTTGGGACAATTGTTTTTTCATTTTTTCTTAGATAAGATTTTATCTGCTTTGACTATTCACGGAAAGAGAGAAATTAATAAGTAAGTTATATAGATGTTCAAAAATTCCTGATTTAGGTTCAGTCAATATAGATTGAATGAAACCAATATTTATTTTGTTGAAAATGGTGCATGATTTCTTCTCTTTCCATTGAATTTATACGACACACAATATACAGTACAAAGTGTGTACATACCTATTATTATGTAGTGATATAGACACAGTTTGAAACGTTCTTTTTTTAAAAAATTTTAACTAATTTGTTTTTTACATTTCGGTAATATAATTTTTTTCTATGGAAAAATATTCTGAGACCTTTATAATATATTTGAATACTATCACTATTTTTAATTAATGGATTTCGTTAATTAGCATACTGTATAAAAACAATATTCATATAAAAACCCAGATGGTATTATTGTACAGGAAAATTTATAACTCACAAATAACATTATATACTTTTAAATAATACACTAAATATCAAATTATATAATATATACATACACTAAATATATATATATATATATATATATATATATATATATATATATATATATATCGTCGTCTATGGATTATTTTATGCAGGCTGATCTCGTATTTTGTACCTGGAGCCTGATCTCCTGCTGGCGCTGCTTGAGACGCTCTCGTTCAAGCTGTAGCGACTGCAAACGTAATTTTTGTTGAGAAGCCTGTATTGAAGCATTGGCCCAGCCTCCACCCGCCGCGCCCGCATTCGCCGCTGGAGTACGCTGCAAGTGTTGTGCTGAAAAACAAACGTACCTTAAATTACACTGCATACACACGTCACACACAACTCTTAGGTTATATTTAGAGTCAGAAAATATTATACTTACGTATTCTAGGATCAAACCAGGATGTCGTACGAGAGGCATGGTTGATGAAATAAGTCTCTCCCTCTGGAGTCGATGCCTGTTCCCACCCTTCCGGTAATGGTCCTAGTGGATCTGTCGCCGTGTTACTACTTGTACTCTTCGCTGCTGAAACCAATCAGAGGCGTTCGGTTAGTATTTTGTTTATTTATAGCATAATATCGCCCAGTGATACATAATAAATCAATGTATGCATTGTATGATCATTTCAACAGCGACTAGTTGCAAGCTTGCAAAGCCAATGGGGATAGTTTATGTTAATGTGAATCGCGCACGTGATTGGTAATCAGGTGGACATTGGGAAGGTCATCGAGAGCTCGTTCCAAGAAAACAGCGGCGCCAGACGCGCGCCCGCGCATCTCCGCTTTGGCGCACGCACCAAAATGAATCAGAGCGTCGATGTCGCTCCGCGGCCTCTTAACCCTCCCCTCGTACACATAATGTTCATGTGTACGTGCTATATCCAAACTATATCATTCATGTTCACGACGATGCTATAAATTACGTGCGTTTACTTATTTATTCCTGCTTATAAGTAATTAATCTATTATAGTAGTATCGAACTACGTGTATATACTCTTACTGCGATATCAGTTAATGTCATATGTCGTATGAGTCATATTTTTCATTGTCATATAGGTACACGTCAAGTATTGATTATTGCACAGATACCTATTAAACTGGCATTTATTCCATATAAGATTTTATTCCAAGATAGCCTAGTTATTAACATCGTTGCATTTTCCTAAACATGCACTCTGGTAGTTGTTTGTGTACCTATCTAATGTGTTTATGTATAATTAGACATTATTTACAGTCATGATTACTCAACACTGTCGCGGCTCGACGACTAAGCACCCACCGAATTACCTAACATTGTGTCTACCAAGCCTTACACTTTATCGCACTATTTAATCATAATGTTACAAGATAATTATTATGGCCTAATCCAGAACTTATGCATACGTTCTTATCATCATCATCATCATCTTCCTACCCTTATCCCAATTATTATTTGGGGGCGGCGTAATATGTTTTCCTCTTCCATTCTTTTCTATTCCCAGTCATTTCCGCATTCACTCCCATTCTGGCCATATCGTCCCTTAAGTTCTTATAACAGAATAAATATCCTAGCGAGGAAAGAGCAATAAAAGTTCATTTATGCTTTTCAAGTAAAGTTTAAAAAGGATGTTTGTATATGTTACGAGATAACTTCGTCAATTCTGGACCGAATTTTATAGTTATTTCATGTGCAATTAATATATGTACTTACGTTCAATCTTTATTCCGTATTATTTTCTAAAGACGCTGTTTAATTCTCTATATATTTTCAAACTGGGGAGGGAAAAGTTTTTAATAACGGGGAGTATTGAGCTATCAATATACCGTGTTAATTCGTGAATTCATCACGATGGGCCAACTGACCCGACCTGATCTTCACCTATCATTCGCCTGTAGTACATTACTAATTTAAACCGAAAGCTTTCATCAATATTCGGCTATGTATATTATGACTAACCTTGTATTAAGCTTATAAATATTTATTAAAACAATAATTATAATATTTTATAATTAAAGAATATTACGCGCTTATGTCAAGAAACGTGGAATCTGTCGATTTTTTAAGGTGGGTACACTTAGTTAAACTCTGCTCAATTTGAAGCCATATTATCTCAATACTAACCATAACATAATATGAAAGTAAATATGTGTATATAGATGTTTAGCAGTAAAATCACGATGATAAGCTATAGTTTACGTAATAGTATAATTTTATGAATTATGTAAGTGAAACCTTTAAAAGTAATAATAATAATATCCTTAATACAAATTGATGATAAAGGAATTACATTTATTATCATCGTATTAGTTACTTTCCTACATAATAAGAAAACTATGTAGAATGGTATGTTATCGCATCAAATTTAAGAAGAATGTGTTGGGGAAATAGAATTTATTTGCTTTGTCACCTGATCTACTTAGATTGTTTGTGTCTGTTGAAAAGATAAGTAACAGAACACTGACACTTGTTCTGTGAGATGGCGTCGCCTGATGCCATAGGAACGTGACTACGGCACGTATTAATGTAAACTATCGGAAAAAGGATTAATAAATAGGTGCGCAGACACGTAATATTAACGCTTTAGACGACGCCAACATATATCAGTTTTATTGTCCATTTGTTTCATTCAAAGAATATGATAAGTATAGCCTATTATGCAGGGTAGAATGGAAATCAATAGCTTTTAATGGAGTGTTTAAAAACATTTTACCCAAATAAAAAAAAAAAATTACAACAGATGTTGCACCTTACATACTAATTTGACAGTTGGACGCGCCGTGTTAATGTCTAAAATTGTGGTTTAAAATTTTTTATGCTTTTTAGACCTAAGTATCTTTGGGAAATATGTTCAGTTTCATAAGTAGAACACTTGATTGAAATCACAATAACAATTTCGAGTTTATTCACATAAAACAAAAGTATAACATGAAATATTTTACATGTCTAAACACACAAACGAAGAGAAAATAAATGTTTGTTTATCTAAATACGACAAAGTTAGCGGGAAATGTTTGTTTGGTTGTTTGGTGTAACGCGGATATGTCGCAAGTCGCGAGTGGGCAAGCGCGCTGAAAGCTGAAACTACAGGCGCTGGGTCCATCCATACGTGCCCCAGAGCTCGGCGCCGCTGCCGCCGCCGCGACACCAATGTATTTTCCGAACACCTTTCAACGCTCGTCTCGCATCGACCGACGGAAACAACGCGTTAATTCCCGTCATAAAATCAGTTTTAGAATTCGGGTTATTTACTTGTTTTTATTTCAGTTCCATGATAATTTTAAACGCGCCTCTGTGGCCAATTAGATCATGTGAAACGGAATGGAAGTGAAGAGTCCACATAAAATATATTTGTTAGAAACCTTTTCGTGCGAACGTTTGACACGATGACTTATCATTTAAGAATGTTTACTCATATAATCTAAAAACTAAATCTAAAATGCATTCTGATACTTTTTAAAGCACTTTGAAGATACTATTGTAAATTCTATTATAATTTACAATACTACATAGAAAATGATCATTTACAATCTATCACCAAATCAAATAAATATAAAATACTGGCCGTTTCGTCGCGACTTTGACTGTGAACATCAGAATATAATCCTATGTGTTAAGTTAGGACATAACCTGTCCCTGTACATAATTTTATTAAAATCCGTTCAATCGATAAAGTTACGCTTTAAACATCCAAAAATCTTTACAAATGTTCACATTTATTAGTATTACCTGGTGCTGTTGCTATCGTTTGTGCCGTAGGAGTCTGTGAAAGTAGCGTCTCGGCACTCTGGTGCTGAACGCCACTCGTCACTGTCTGCGCAGCCAAGGTCTTCCTGGGGTCGTCCCAGGTCGTCGTCTTTGTTACATGACTGGAATAAAAAAAAAAACAAAAATATTTAATACGTTGTTGTTAACCATTACATTGCAGAGGCGTTTATTTACGAATTGTAGATTTTTTCTAAAATATAATATGTATTACAGCTAGTCCGAATTTAATGCATCGGTCAAATAAGTCATACAACTATAACGTACATTATAGACTCCTCTATTAGATAAGTACACAAAGTATCTCTGACGTACATTTATATAATATATATAAATTTTATAACGCGCACGTAACAACCCTAGTGTTGTAGGTGTCCATAGGCTAGAGTAACTGTTTACTATAAGACGGACTGTATGCTTGTTAGTCACCTTCGTGGTATAAAAAATATATGCATATTATTGAAGAAAATTTAAGATTTTTCTTCAATAATATGCATATTTGTTTTATATAGATTATGCATAAAAGATTAAATATAAGTACACTGAATAAAATATTTTTCTTCTTCTTCTTCTTCAATCAAGAATCAATCAATCAAAGCCAACGATTACTCAAATTATTCAAATTCTATAAATTCACTGAAGTTTATTTTACAAATAAAATAGAAACAAATACTCGTATATAAACGATATATGAACCCTGATTAATACGATTAATACACTTATTTTCTGGGGCAGTCGTGATTTATCATAATAGATTATGAAATAGACTTTTTTAATATAGGACGATGATAATAAAGGTCAACTATACAATTGGTGCATATCAGCTAATTGAAATTATTTCTTATCATACTCGTAGTATCTATCGATAAGTATTTTTTCGCAATTTTAAATATTTAAAGAAAGAAGAGGATACAATAAACAAATGGTACTAAAGTATGAAATGGCTAGCGATGCAAAGATTTACATATTATGATCTACTAAAGTTTTTCTAACTAAAGTGTGTAATGATAAATCTACGACAAACCCTTTTATGAGATAATATATGAAAACTCAAAAAATATACTTCTACAAAACTTCCTCACCACAGGGAAACTGTACAAAAGTCGTTCGCTTAGCCACCTCTGTCCCATTCGTGTTTCTACGGTGAAACAGTTATTTGCATGGTTGTGTTTTGGTTTGAAGGGTGGGATATGGCAGTGAATTTACAGGGAACAAAGCAAAAACACCTGAGTTCTCAGGAATGGCAACGCATGGGGAATATCATAGGCGGGACAGTATACTCTATTATGTCCATGGTACTGTTTATGTCTATAGGAGACGCTTTCCATCAGGTAGGCTGTCAGCTTGTTTGCCATTCTAAGTTGTTTAAAGCCAAATAAAAAAATATATATTCGAATTGAGACTGAAAGATGTTCCGATTATATTATAAAAATAAATGCATAAAACGCCTGAAACGCTCTTACAATCAAGTAATTAAAGTCCATCAGTTAAACGACAGTTTGACTTATCAATCTGAACTTCAGATAACGGTAGCAATTCCGTGGACCCCCCAGGGATCCAGATAAAGATTTCAAGTGTAATTACGATCTATTAAAGTATGTGATGTATGTGACATACACAGCAAACTATATAGTATCAAAAATAAAATTCATGATTGTAAAATGATAGACAGACACTCAGTAACACGAAATTATATACGTACTTATATTTATGATAACTACTATATGGAATATTAGAGGAAAGTCCTGTTATCAATTTATGCATAGATTAAATAATGATAATATGTTGATAATATTATGTATGCATATACTTAGTCGTAGGATGTGTCCTCATACTTGATAAGAAAGTTAACAGATATGATAAAAATGTAATGAATGACGAAAACAAATATAATTATTCTATAATTATAATATATTAACGTTATATTATAGGTCTGTACAAACGTATCTTGATTGACACATTTTCCTATAGACTTCAAAAGGTTCTCTACTATACATAGACTATGTTTTTTTATAACACTACGCGATGTTTTTAACAAATGTGAGCACATTTTGATGATCCTTACTTCAATTCATGAAGTTCACTCCTAAATTAATACTACACTAATTACTAACTTTACTCCAATCATGTTGGTCATGATTGGTTGGTCAAGTTAGTTATGAAATCATCTTTGTAGAATGTAGATTAGAGGATCTTAATTGCTCTCTGTTAAAATCAATAACTTAATAAAAAGATAAGTTAGTTTAGTTGAAATTATCAAAATTACAGAAACACTCTCAAAATTAAATCAGTAACAAATCGAAAAATGTCAACTAGACAAATACAGATTATCTTATGGTCGACTCAATTATTCGTTTGTTTACAATAAATTCTATTACCCTGTATCACTGATTTTCATCAGCGCATCACAACATCAATTGTGCCAATAGATTTGTAAGTTGTAATTCGCAATATATTAACTCGCAAGTCCAAAATACACAAGTGACCGTGCAAAATCATCGAGTCACTTACGGCGAGATAAGAAAGTGCTGTATTGGAAAGTAGGTGGGGCGTCACCAAGCCGAATCAATTTGCACGGTGCGGTAATGAACTTGGACGCTATCAGCTGCTGCTCGACAACAACCACCTGTGGCAAGAACACACCTGCACAAGCCCAGCGGGCCACGTTTGCGATTATACTACCATCAGTTTATCCTTTTTATACCACATATTAAGCGTAAGCGCGAACTTGACAATTTAAGCATACGTTTACAATTTAAACATACGTATATGTTCGTTACTTAATTAACATTAAGTACTTGGGTTTACCCGGGACTTTGTCCGCGTGACCGGGATATATCCATTGAACGGGATGAAGTAGACTACGCCCTACTCAATCCCAAATTTTGTAATAATCTAGATACCTCTTGACGCCACCAAGAGTTACCTAATAAACAAACTCATTTACACGTTTTTAATAGTAGTAAGGATAAAGATGTTTTGTTTAAGTATTATATATATATATATATATATATATATATATATATATATATATATATATATATATATATAAACCTATAGAGGTAAACAAAGTGTAAGACGAACCACGACAAAATGTAGCGAGGATCTCAAAGTAAGGAGTCAGAAGAGTCAGCAAAGAATCACAGAACCACTCCCTATTAAATAATTAACGGCTGAATTTATGCCATAAACAAATGAAAAACTTCCACTTGCTTTCTATGTAAAAAAATCATTTGCTCAATGTATATAAGCGCATCACTTCAGAACACTTTTTTGTGTTTGTAATTGTCAAAACAAGGTTTGTATAAAAGAAAATGTTTGGAAAATCCAGCGCGAAATCGAAAAGATTGGGTTAAAAAGGGGAATATTTGGTCTCGAATTCTTCATTAATACATCCGTACGAAGCGGGTAGTTTTATGTAAATCTTACAACTTCTTAGATTGCAAAAAATGTGCAATGCACACGAATGTTAAAATTTACCCGGGTCTCAATCAAGTCCCTATTATTTATACATATAAATAAACATAATTAGGAAAACGATATACCATATGACGTTATCATAATCATAAAAATTGTCCTTATGTTATTCAATAAGTTTTATAAGTGAACATCGAGGTGGAAAAATATAGGTACTTGTGATTACAAAGTAAGGAAAACTACCATAAAAATGACTGACGGTGCATTACCAGAATGCTTATAAATGTTTTTATTCCGATAACTTACTTGTTTTTGTAAAGATCATAACAATGTGAATTATTACGTAAACTAATACATGACACCACTTCAGGTGGACACGAAAACGGGTGAAGGGGAGAGGGAGGTATGTAATTACAGTGCAGCCTGCACCGAGGCGAGGATAGCTCAGGTTGCATAACACACGCCGGCCAACAGTCAACACGATCTTCAACATGCTACTCCAAAGTAAGCAATTATTCAACCTAGATAATAAAATACAATATCAAATTTATAATTACTACCTACGGTTACGCAAATAAATTATTTTATGTCCCTATCAGCACAAACAAAGTTCTATAACCTTCTATATAGGTAAGAACGCAGCTCTTTGAGAATACGTACTATGAATATAATAACGCCTTATCTCAAAAGTAACACTCCTAGATTTGATTTTTTTTTTAAATAAAATACAGTCCATGTTATTCGCTGACAATGTTAATTTTCTATAGATGAATAATTTTCAAAATCGCTTAATAATTTTTTTGAGTTTATCCGTTACAAACAAAAAATCAAATCATTCCTCTTTATAATATTTGTTTACACAAAGGTTCTAGTTATAATATTATTTATATTATTATGGGGAATTAATCATCTTTTTAACTTCAACGCGTAATAAATGAATGAAAGTTGTACACCCATCCTGCAAATGTTTGCCGACAAGAAAAACTTAAGCAATATTTTAATTATTAAAATGCCTATCTCGGGAGTCAAGCTTGACTTGTGGCATGGCGCTGATTAATTCGCAATCAGATGATCAAGTCCATTCCTCAGCCTGAATTAGTCCACAAAAGCATATGTAAATTTATCTAGTTATTTTTATAAATAACCACAGTGACCATACTAATATACTAAAAACATAGGTAGACAAAATAATTATGAGGTGTTTTAAATAAAAGCAATAGAAGCCAATACAATTTTTTTAGAAATGTTGTCTATCTGACTGCCTGTATGTTTGATCTAGGGTTACGCAAAAAGTACTGCAACAAATTGGATGCAGTGTTCACAATTATGTTTCTGGATACCTAACTTAAAATGTGGCGTATGTTTCATCTTGATACGTTATCCAGAAGTGGTTCATTTCGTTAGTGTTCCTGCTTCTGAAATCTACGCGTACGATGTAGTGGGAAAAAGCTAGAAAATAAATAAATATGCGAAGTAAACGGAGAAATTATTAAATCGTGACTATGTCGTAACAAAAAAAACCTACAGAAACTGAAGTATTTAGTTTTCTATCTAGTATGTCGTCGGCGACGACATACTTGTACACTTTTTCTAGTCATAACTTATTTTCTAAAAGTACATAAAACAAATTTGACTGACTCAATGTGATGATTTCATGACTCAGGATTGGAGGAAAACACCTCGGGAA